AAGTTTAAAAAATCTTCCAATGAAATATCCGAACGCTCAATAAAAGTATTTCCAAGGTAGCTCGACAAAATAAATAATATCATGATAGGGTATTTCACAGGATTAATAATAAAGTGCTATATGTTAGCATCTGTGTTTAGAATGAATATTGGCAGGGGTTTTTACTATTTTTACAAAAAAAATATTCATAATTTTACTCAAAACCCACGAAAAAGATAATAGTTTTCTTATCTATTGTCACGTGACCCAAAACGCTTGGGATTGGCGGAGCCTAAAATGACGTCACACGCAAGTAAACTTCCGGTTAATGTGACATTACATTGTATCTTTGACGTTTTAATAACAGTCGTGTGACGTCACACACTAGTAAGACGCCATATTGTCCATAGAAACGTTTTCGCGGCAACTTGTTAATGGAGTTTTTGATTTGGTTATTTTTACTGAAATACACAACAGAATGATGAATATCCACTTTTTACGGACTCCATAAACATTAGTCAATCACGTGAGACCGTTTTCTAAAACTTGTCAAATACCCTATTTTTTTCGTTGGCTTTTAGCATGTCGCATTACATTCTCAATTAGGTATTATTAAAAATCAGACCTAACACCGAGCATCGGTGGTTCAGTGGTAGAAAGCTCGCCTGCTACGCGGGCGGCCCGGATTCGCGTCCCAACCAAGGAAAGATTTTTTTTAGGAATTATTTTAAAAGTTTCACTTCGTTGTTTCATAACACCACACCATTATCGTAATCGTGTAAAATACTTATATTAATAAGTTTTTACGTTAATAATATAAATATACTCTGAAGATTGCTAAATTTGTCACAAGAAGAATTTATCGAGTAGCCCTTAATAAATTCTTCTTGTGACAAATTTAGGCTGGGGATACGTCATTTTCGTGTTGTTGTTTACTAAGTGAGGTCACATAGCGAGTTGACTACCTACGTCATGCTAAAACGCATACCAAAACACACAGCAAAAATTATGTCTGACCTTCATACAGCGACTTGTTATCAGTTCCCCTAGCACGAAACATTATCGAATTCGAATAGTTTGCGAGTGTGAAATGTCAATGTCAAATTTTGTATGGAAAGTTTTTGTTGTTTTTAATTTTACTTGTACGTTATATTTAACTTTATGTTACACTAGCGGCCCGCCCTCGCTTCGCTTCGGTGTAGAGCTGAAGTGTAGACTACAGTTTTTTTTTCTCAGGCTTGTATTATACACAATGACATTCATCTATGATTCTTCTTATACCTGTATGCAAAGTCTCAGCCCGATCGGTTTAAAATTGACAAAGTTTCATACAAACTTTCATTCCCTATTTTATACCCTTGTGGGTAGAATTGATAAAAATCCTTTCTTAGCGGATGCCTACGTCACAACATCTACCTGCATGCCAAATTTCAGTCCGATCCGTCCAGTGGTTTGGGCTGTGCGTTGATAGATCACTATGTCAGTCAGTCAGTCACCTTTGAGTTTTATATATATAGATTTTTGCATTTTATGTATGCTGTCAACAATAAAAACTTTTTTTTTCTTTCTTTCTTTCTTTCTTTCTTCTTTCCTTCGCTACCCTGACTCAATCCCTTACCCCGTGGAGCCCTGGAACCTTCCCTCACGGACAATACGCCAATAATGATAACAAATTATAATACCGTCATCTTTGGACAGAGTCAAGCCATCTTTCTAACACGAGTAATCAATTGATTAGGTCTAATCAAATACTAACTCAACAACAACACGCGTAGGTGTTTGTTTCAATTTTGGTTTCGGTTTGGACGTAAACTACGTGGAAAATCACCTTCCATCTACGTTATTAGGTACGTTGAACTAACGATAACGGACTTGCGTCACAATTTAAACGTTTACTTGACATTCAATATCTAAATATTTGTTTCTTAGGTTTTCTCGTATACTTACCACTCATTAAATGAAACATATACTATAGAGGAGCTCGATGGCGCAAGTGGTTAGCGCATTCGACTGCGATCGTTGAACTTAAGCAACATTCGCAGTGGTCGGTCATTGGATGGGTGACCAAAACTTACTACCTAGAGCTCCTCCATGCTTCGGAAGGCACGTTAAGCCGTTGGTCCCGGCTGCATCTGCAGTCGTTAGCACCCACCAATCCGCACTGGGCCCGCGTGGTGGGTAATGGCCCAATCTCCCTAATTCCATCCATAGGGAAGGCCTGTGCCCCAGGAGTGGGGATATTAATAGGCTGATGATGATGATGATGATACTATAGAAAAAGTTATAGTGAACCAAACTTAAAAGACGGGCATATGCTGTCGCAGACTTTTTTGTAGAACTTTTATTGGGGAGAAAATTCCGCCATACGTGATTTTTGCTATAACTTTAATAATTTACGCAGCGCACGCAACTGAAGCTCATAAGTGGAATATTTTAACATCGATGATCTGCGCCTATTGGTCACAGCGTGATATCTTATAGCCTTAAGAAGAGAACAGCTCTTATGGGAAAAAACATATTCTGTATGGCCCCTCGAATGTATAATAAACTCCCGACATATATAAAAGAATTAAATTTTAATTTATATAAGAAGAAAATTAAAAATATATTATTAGATAAATGTTATTATGATGTATCGGAATTTTTAAATGACAAATTTTGAATTTTAATTGTTTTATTATTATTATTTCTATTTTTTTGATTAATTTTGACATTTTATTATTGAATAGAAATCATTTGAATTTAACATATTTTATTATTGACGTATTTTGACAAATTTTGAATTGTAATTATGTTTTGATTATTATGATTTCTATATTTTTTGATTAATTTTAACATTTTTATATTGAATTGGAATCATTTGAATTTGACATGTTTTATTATTGAATATTAAGATTTTTGACATGATATTTAAATAACCTGCTGAATTTGTATGCCCATATCGGCACGACATGTTATGCACCACTAAAATCACAACACCTTACTTACACATGTTGTCTCAAATAAATATTTTTCTTTCTTTCTTTAAGCCTTCCTTAATAAATGCAATATCTAACACAAAACGATTTTTTCTAAATCGGACTGAGAGTTCCTGAGATCTGCGCGTTCTGCCAAAAAATTTGTGCATTCGCTACAACGGGTCCTAAACTACGCAACAAAATTTTCACTATCAGTTAAATAAATTTCGATGGAAGGTTTAAAAATAAAGAAATTCTTTGAGTATAATACAAGCCTGAGAACAAAAACTATAGTCTTCCTACACTACAGCTCTACACCGAAGCAAAGCGAGGGCGGGTCACTAGTTTCAAATAAATATTAGTTCATCATCATCATCATCAGCCTATTAATGTCCCCACTGCTGGGACACAGGCCTTCCCTAGGGATGGAATAGGGATTTTGGACCATGACCCACCACGCGGGCCCAGTGCGGATTGGCGGGTGCTAACGACTGCAGATGCAGCCGGGACCAACGGCTTAACGTACCTTCCGAAGCACGGAGGAACTTGAGATGGAAGATTTTTGGTCACACATCCAATGACCGACCACTGCGAAAGTTGCTTAACTTCTACGATCGCAGCCGAACGCGCTAACCACCTGCGCTATAGGGCTCCTCATTAGTTGACATGTTCATTTTCATTGTTTCGGTGGACCTCTGTTATCGTAACCTCAAAAATAATTCTAAAATTATTGTAGGTGATGGACCAAACCTGTTTCATCTTACAATATCGTATGCCAGTGCATTCACATACGATATTGTATGATATATACAAGGCCTTTCACTGGAATAAGCCACATCTAACCCCAATTTGGAAATTGAGCACTACAGTTTCTTTTCCCAATTTGTCCTTCAATATTTCTTGTGAGTTTTCGAGTAAGGAACCTAAGAAGGGCACGATTTGTCAACTGTTATTGCAATCGTTAGGAATATTGTAAATGACGGAGTTTGTTTGTAACGCTTTCACGCAAAAACTACTGAAAGGATTTGGATGAAATTCGCTACGCAAATAGTACATAACTTGGATTGAGACAAAGGATACATTTTATATCGCAGAAGATCCTGTAAGATTCTTAAAAAAATAAAGTTATCGTGGACAAAGTCGCGGGCAGCTGCTAGTTATAAATTAAAAGAGGATTCCTGCTTTATATTAAACACATTCATTTTTAGGAAATGTGGTATTTAGTACTAGGTGTAAAAATTTCTCAATAAATTATAAATTAATCTAATATCGAACTAAATAAGATTTTAGTGTGTACAGTATGAATATATATCGATACATGCACTCAACGTCGACAGCTATGTAACGTATCGTATTCATCAAATTTTGTATGGAAAAAGCTAGTTTGGGCTTACGTCCGATAGCGGCGCTGCTTAATTTTCATAGAAACTTTGACGATGCGATACCTTACGGAGCTGTCAAAAATTCCCCCTTGGCTCTCAGGACATTTTTCAGCTGCGGAGAAAAACTGGCGAAAAGAGATTCAGAACATTCAATAAATAGCAACGACAGGTACAAAGATAGGATATCGTTACACTGTCAATACATCATTCGTAACTTGTGACCCATTTTATAGAACATCAGCAATGCCAGTGACGCAGCCATGCCGCTGCCTTTCGTGCAACACTCTATTTAAGCCTCTCTTGAAGCAGACCATCTTATAGTACTGAAGGAACACAGGGGAGGAGAAGCTCATTCCATAATTTTATTGCCATCATCATCAGCCTATTAATGTCCACACTGCTGGAGCACAGGTCTTCCCTATGGATGAAATAGGGAGATTGGAACGTGAACCACCACGCGAGCCCAGCGCGGATTGGCGGGTGCTAACGACTGCAGATGCAGCCGGGACCAACGGCTTAACGTGCCTTCCGAAGCACGGAGGAACTCGAGGTAGCTAGATAGATATATCGAGCTCCTCAATTTTATTGTCCGTGGAATAAAAGACGTCTGGAAACGACCAGTTAAGTTCCCAGGCAATATGGGTGGTAAAAAGATCATAATGATGAATTTTGTCTGTTGCAGTCAGGATGAGTGGTGTATGGTGTCGCGGACTGGTGGGACTGATGCTGGTGGCTGTAGGAGCTGCGATCGAGATGTACTATGAGTTGCCGGCTAGGAATGCTGCCGAAGACCTGGATTATCAGGTAGGAGACTTTCAAAACAGCGTTCTTTTTTAAGATCTGTGGTCTAAGCTGGAGCACGCAAACTCAAATAATGTTTATTTAGGTACTTCCTCTTGTATTGAAGGTGAATATTATATGGTTCGGGGAATATAGACGCACGAAGGGAATTCTCTTGCGGTTCGCGAGATAAAGGAGGATGCGAAAAGTGAGGTGCCCAAGGAAGGTATGTCAACCGCGTATGGATGATGATGCGTATTTTTTTATTTTTTATAGATAGGTCCTATAAATGACTCCAACCCACCTGATGTTAAGTAACGGTGAAGTCCAGACGTGAAGATAGCTGGTACAGCAGTTCTACCTGCCACACCAGCCATTCTCACCTAGACGGCCTGCATGTTGCTTCTTCACACCTCTTTTAAAGGATCCCAGGTTGTTAGAAGGAGGGAATACGTGAGCAGGCAGAGGATTATGTGCTTATCATTACACATTTTTATGCCTATACACATCATTACACCATGTCTCTTTCCAGAGGAGTATGCAGATCCAACGCAGTGACACTTTCTGTTATGTCGATTGGACTCAGTTTATTTTGGTTTAGTTTTTCAGCGCGGTCTTCGCACTTAGTCCTAATTATTATTGGACCATTGTACGTGTCTTGAAATATTCCCGTTTACACCAGCTAGCCTAAGTTAGTCCAGAAGGAAAGCAGCCTTGGCAGACTGCTGTAAGCTTCCGGAAGCGATGCTGGTGACTGGAGAAGTCGTGCCCGTTGGTCGGCCACACTCCAGCATTTTCTTCTGCTTCCATGCATCCTCTGCATAGGGGGCTGTTTGTTACTCCTATGGTATATAGGTGTTTGTTTAGGGGACAATGACCAGTCAGGGTTCCTATAATCTTGCGGAGTTTGTCCCTATTTGGTCTGGCAAGGGTGCGGGAAAGTCTCTTGTGTGCCACTGGAACTGTTTGTTTGATTGATTGGACTCATCAGTTACAACAAGTTTCTGAGGCCTGTTTGGGGAATAGAGGCGTTTCTAGATCTAGAAGTGCTCGTGTACAATCATTTACCTACCGTCCTATAGGAAGCGTGCGGTCAAAATGTAATGGTGGCGAGCACAGAACACAGAAAATGGTTATAAGGGTGATACAGGAACCGTTGTCGCTACTCGCCCACACTACACTTCCACCTAATAGATAATAGCCAATCAAACGACGCGACATCAAACAATCAGACCAATCAGCGCTCAAAACGGAGAGCAATGACGCAATTTGCACAAAGTTTTGGTCAAGTTATAAGCATTTGATCACACATAATTGTGGTGGACCTACCCCGCCCACATCATCATCATCATCATCAACAGCCTATCTTAGTCCACTGCTGGACATAGGCCTTTCCAAATGCACGCCACTCAGATCGATTTTGGGCTACTCGCATCCAGCTCCTGCCAGCCACCTTGCGCAAATCGTCACTCCATCGCGCCTGAGGACGTCCTACACTACGTTTGCCTAGACGCGGTCTCCACTCCAGAACTCGTCTACCCCAACGGTTATCGGTTCTTCGACAAATATGGCCAGCCCACTGCCACTTCAACTTGCTAATCCGGTGGGCTATGTCGATAACTCTGGTTCTCTGCCGGATAACCTCATTTCTGATGCGATCCTTCAGAGAAACGCCGAGCATAGCCCTTTCCATAGCGCGCTGAGCGACTTTGAACCTGTGACCCAGCCGTACCGTCAGTGTCCTCGTCTCTACTCCGTATGTCATCACAGGTAGAACGCACTGATTGAAGACTTTCGTCTTTTCGACTCCACCCACAAAAGGTCCTTCTAACTTCTTTTTGTGTTCTGTGGTGTGTGCGATATCTCTCCCTGCACCATTAGTAAACCCACCTCTGCTGGGGAAGAGAAAACACTTGGAGACAATTTTATTTTTGCAGACGAGCCATAAATTTAATATCAACTACCACACTTCTCACATAAAAACAATCCGACTTCAAAAGACGCTTCCAGACAGATTCGCCTTATAAACCTCTTTCATTATATTAAACTGCAAAGACTAATGAATCATTGATCTTCTATTTTTAGTTAAGCGAATAAATACTCGTAACATGTTTAATGTGGATGCATCGATTTTTCGTTCCTAGTTATTTTAAGGCATTTCTTTTGAAAAAGAAATATGATGTGTTTAGAGTTCCCAATTTCTAAGTTTCCACTGTTAGTTTGTCTCTCCGTCTGTCATATTAACCTCTAATTAAAGGTCACCAACTAAGATTTTTCATGGTTGAATCAAGATACCTGTTTTGCTGTACATTAACAATAGTTCTAATTCAAATGTAAGGGCTTCTTTGCATGTTAGTCTCAGTTGCCCTTAACTGCATTCTATATTCTTAATTTACCTAGATGAGACTAGATATCTTTTACCTAGATGATCTAGATCTAGATTAGAGTAGATATGGTGGGAATATTCCCTTCCAACTATTACAGCATTAAGCTGAGCCAGGGTCCTGATTGGCCTTTTTTCTCTCTCAATATTGCTGCACTCTGTTTTATTTTTATTTTCATTGCTATTGTATAAATAAAATGCAGAGAAATATTTTTTTATACCCAAAATGAATTTATCTTTAATTAGACCACTTATAGCACGGATTTCTTGGTATGGACAAGACGGAAACGGAACTTGTTATAATCGTCTACGACTTACAAGTCGTAGACGATTGTAACAAGTTCCGTTTTAATTCAATGTTGCAATTATAGAAAATGGTTTATGCCAACATTTAATATTTTGATCTAGTAATTAATTTGTGTACATTTTTACGTTTAATTATATTATTAAAGAGCTATATTTATTGTTTTTTTTTATCTACGTATATGTAAGGTCAATAAAATCTTTTTCTTTCATTTTTTTCTTTCTAGATAAACAATATTTTCCATGACCTCTAAACGCTTCAAGATTTCAAACAATAACCTACCCTACTCAGATACACGCGGAGGGATTAGATAATTTCTTTTAACGTCCATATTTTATTACAAGCTGACAGGTTAATTTAATAAGAAAACAGTTTCTTTCCTCGTAAACTCTGAGATTGCGATGGTAACCCCTTTAGGGTTAACATAATCGGGAGCTTTAGTGTAATTTTAGTTTCAAGGCTTTCTTTTCGGTTTTAAAAAGTGAACCTTCGGTTCTCTCTGGACGCAACCATCGTCACCTTGTCGGCCTGCAAAAATGCTTTTTCACGCCTCTCTTTAAAGGACCCCAGATATATAGGAAGGAGGGAACAATATAGCATAAAGACCTTTTGCCTTTGGTACCCAAAGCTATCACTCGAGTCGTTTTCATGTGCGTACCCTTCCAAGGAGCCACTGTGGAAAAAGTAGGTTTCAAATAATGGCAATGATAATAATACCATTTTTTTTTGTTTCCTCCCAGGCGGGGGAGCGGGTGAGAAATCCTCATGGATACCCTACAGTCGGCTGTAGGGTTATGTCAGACTATACACCCGCTGTAGACTAAAGACTATACACACTGACTAAAAAACACCCGTTAATCATGCTTATGGCCAGAAGGACCTTACAAGCTTCATCTGAAGCGATCAACCCCCGAGAGGGGGATGATGCGGCGCTGCGTTAGTTTAAACTAGTGCATAGTTTAAAATAACGCAAAATGCGCTAGAGGACAAGTGCACTCAGATGAAAATGGGAGTGCCTAATTAGTAGTCCTTACTACCACACCAATTTACCAGTAGATCCATGAACTACCCCCCGGTAGTCTCTGGATGTACTGAACTGATTTTGAAAATAATTTAAGTCATGTTATTTGTGAGTGTCATAGACTATATGTATATTAACCCTAAGTGCTTGGGCACGGAGACGGACTAGGAGCGGTTGCGGGTGGCGGCAGCGGTTGGCTTATTAAACAAATGTATGAAGTATGCCACGACTCGTGCGCGGCAGGCTAGTGCGGCTGCGGCTGGCGGCGGCCGGCGGTTCCGGACAGCGGTAGCGGGCCAGCCAGAAACAAAGCTATGGGCTAGTCTGCGCATGGCCACGGTGTACAGCGGTTTTTCGGGCGGTTGAAAACGGCTAGAGCGTGGGACGGATCGAGTCAAACAAAATTTTTTGGACGAAGCCACGAGCGGCAGCATTTTATTATGGACACCGAAGCATTTATTACACAAATATTAAACCGACCATCTATATGGATGTCTAAGCATCCATAACACAAGTAATTAAAAGACTATGTAATTAAATAAATAAGATCAGGACAATAAGTTTTATTAGATAATACGTAATTACTAATAAGTAGGTACAAGTATAGTATAGTATACGCCATAAAATACGAACTGCTGTCAAGGCAACTACACATTATTTTAGTTAGAGCCATCCTCAATACGTCCACTTTAGTCAGCCGCTGTAGCCGTTACTGAATGTACGTGGCGTGCGGTACCCGCACCCGCAGAAGTCACCCGCACCCGCGCTTAGCCTAGCCCGTCTAGGTGGCCAAGCCGTAAAGATAGACTAGACCAGGGTAGGCGAACCAATGGCACGCGTGCCACTGATGGCACGCGACACAATATTTTGGGTTTTCATCTACCTATGCCTGCGAGTCATTGTCTTCAGAGATGAAAGATCATTAAAAACTCGTTTGACAGATGAATCCAGTTCAGCATGCATTTTGCTAAAAGTAGCATCTTACAACCCTAACATAAATTATTTGTTATCAAACCTGCAGCAACAGAAGTCACACTAATTTTACAGTAATCTAATTTATGCGTGTAATAAAAACATTCCAGAATGTGTCTCTTTGGTTTACTTTATTTCATAAAGATTTCTGATAGTATTTATATTATTATCTTCTAAATAATCATAAAGTCAAAATTATTTGATGGCATGCCAATGACCCAATTAAAGATTTTTTAGAAAAAATGGCACGTTGATTCATAAAGGTTCGCCTACCCTGGACTAGACATTACCGCGAACAAAGTCACGGGCGGCGGCTAGTTACTATTTTTTTTTCATGATACGATTAGACTCATGAAATAGGTACTTAATTGGTGATGTTTTTAAACTTTCAGAACTACAACGACGTTTACACACTGCCGCTGTCGGTGGAGCAGAAGCTGTCACCAAAAGCTGCAGACCAGGACGTCATGATGTACAAGATCCTCAGGATGCTGCAAATGGACTCCCCTGAATACTAGTAATTATATTTATTCTTTATTTCAAAGTAATTTTTACAGTTATTCCAAATAAAATTAGTAGGTAATATTAATATTTTCAGGATTCATGTATGTACATCACACTAATTACATTACATTACACTATTACACTAATATTATAAAGGCGAAAGTTTGTGAGTATGTGAGTGTGTATGTTTGTTACTTCTTCACGTCTAAACGGCTGGAGCGATTTTAATAAAATTTGGTATGGAGTTAGCTGACACCCTAGAATAACACATAGGCTACTTTTATCCCGAAAAAATGTTAGGTTCCAGAGGGATTTTCAAGAAACTAAGTTAACGCAGACGTAGTCGCGGGCGACCTCTAGTTGTACATATGATTGAACATGATTTTATTACATTACTAGTAACTCGCCCTCGCTTCGCTCGGTGTAGAGCTGTAGTGTAGACTAAAATGACTCTTCACATAATTATAAAAAGTACTGAAAATGGTATATTTGCCTTTTCCAAACTTCTGTTGACATCAGGTCACTCAATTGTTTTACCTTCCCGGAGCCTCTCCACTAACATTGAAATTTATGGTATGGTATTAAAGCTCAAATTGACATTTAAGTATTATTACGAATTGTTTGTATGGGAGTACATAAAAGTGTTGTTTTTAGACTTTTTCCGGCAGTTTTTTTTATTTTTCTCTGCGTAAGAATCATCCTCGTACTTCAAGGAATATTCTAAAAAAAGATTTATCGAAATCGTTTCAGCTGTTCTCGACATTTGCGCTTAGCAACACATTCAGCGATTCATTTTTATATTACAGAAGATAATTTTTAATCGGCTTAAGAGATTTCGTCATTTAGGGTATCGTTAGAATCTTTACATTACACCCTCACGAGGCGAAATCCTATGCAGTGGCGGACTAACAGGGGGCTGAAGGGGCGGCCCGCCCCGGGCCTCCGATCTTGGGGGGCCCCCAAATGCCTCTACGTTCCCCAGATCAAATCCTAAACAAGACTTTAAAAATGTGCTTAGGTACTAAGCATAATAATACATAATTTCATCAAGATCAAAACACTACAGTAATCTAGACTTTTTACACGGTACTAATATTTATTTAATTTTGCTGAACTCGTCCAATACGCTGGGGGAATTCCCGTCTTTGTAGCGGGTATTTCCTCAGGAATCCCTGAATGAATGAAGTGCAAATAATTTACTCTTGTACGGATACATTTACATTCACTACATTCTATTTAAATCTAACAATATTTGCGGTCTCCAAAAATGACCCTAGATACAGGAATCACCAAACTAAACGCCTTAAATAAGTATTTAGGTGGTTCATCAAGATCAAGAAACCAGGAAAAGTGAAGGTAAAAAGAACTATGCCGGGTGAATCAGCTCGTGATGCTGGATTATCAATTCAAGAAAAAATACGTCGGTCAATATATGAATGCATAGACCGCTTTATACAAGAATTTTCGAATTGGGCTATTAAACAAATCAAAAATATTTTCCAAATTATTGAAACAAAATTTATGCAAGAAGCTTCAGATGACGTTCTGGCTGTAGTAGTTGACAATCTGATACAAAGTTATGGTGAATTTGACAAGACTGGTTCTAACGAAATAAACATAAGAATCTAAATTTTTTTAAAGCCCCATTCTTCTTTGCCGCCCCGGGCCTCTGACGGGCTTAGTCCGCCACTGATCCTATGTCTATGTACGCCTACCTAATTAACACGTTCAAAAACGATATTGTGCGCTCCGACTGCAATGACATCCAATGTAAGGTCGATGAAATGAGCAGGGTCCTACCCAGTAATAATCAGAAAATATAGGCCTGCACCTGTCACCCAACACGCATTTTTAGAATCGTGGTCCCCCCAGTTTATGTCCCAAAGTACTCCCGAAGTAGTTACTTCGCGGCCCCGCCGATGATTGTCCGTTGCTGGACCATCATCATCATCATCAACAGCCTATCTTAGTCCACTGCTGGACATAGGCCTCTCCAAATGCACGCCACTCAGATCGATCTTGGACTACTCGCATCCAGCTCCTGCCAGCCACCTTGATGTAAGGGGTGTAAGGGGTTCTAAATACACCTGCAAGAACCCAAGCCAACCTTACCTTCACGTGGTGCACCCTGTTGACCAACAGACGAGGCTCTGGCAAAACGACCGATGGCGGTATAACCCTCCAACGACGTAGGGGAGGAAAATCTCACTGGTGACGGGCAGCAGCGTCATCAGTGAAATAACGTACGTTCTGTGATCGCCAATCCGCCTGCCCAGCGTGGCGATTATGAGCAAAACCTTCCATGCACAAGAAACACATTGCTGGACCTACCCCCCGATTTGTGGTCCCCCGGAACTCCACACATTACAGGAATACAGACAGGCGCTCCCACACCAGCCCGCTTACTCCCGGTGGGACGGAAGGGGGGAGCGTAGTTCTTCCCGACCCTCTCCTCTCGCCGCTGGTGCACTGGCGGGCGCCCCCTTTATTTATTTATTTATTCTTTATTACCATAAAAACAGTAAATGGCGGACTTAATGCCATAGGCATTCTCTAACCAGTCAACCAGTAAAGGTGTAGGAGATGAAATGTAATGGCGATAGAATATGAGCTACTTAGTGTGGATCATAAAAACTATCTACTATACCTACCCCCCTTTCCCAGTCACGCTCTTCCCCTCTCGATCCCTTGTCTTAAGATATTTTTTAGGATGCAAGCGACAGGAGTGAGTGGAGAGTCCAAGTAGCCTAGACTACTCAGACACCTCGCCTTCTAAGGGCGCCTGCCGGGCGCCAATAGTAATTTATTTGTAATTTCTGTAATTGTAGCTTTCCAGTTCATCGCTTAATACAGTTTGGAGGGAGTGTTTAGTCTTGCATGGGAGGCCTTTTTACTCGACTACGGCAGAAAGAGAGTTATGTTTTTACTAAAACTATACACCTGTTTCAGCTCTAATCGAATACCAGAAATACGCGACAGTCGGAACCAGGTTACAGACTTCAGTGGAGGCATGGTGATGAAGAGGCTATCGGGCTTCGTGTCAAGGCCGGAAAGGTTCAGGTTCCGACCTCAGTTCCGAAGCGCCGACGACAGTCAGAAGACCAAGAAAGAAGGCAAGCCCATAGGTCAGTCGATGGAGTCTAATACAAGACTTTAAAATAAATAAATATTTCTAACACTCACACAAATTTGCCTTCCTCTCAAGTAAGCACTGTAAAGTCGGAAATATATTTATCTGTTGTATTGTGTCGTGACGCGTCAGAGAGTTGTCGATTTCATACATTTAGTACGGTTAGAATTTTATTTCTGTATCGCAATGTGGCTTTTTTTGTTTCCTCCCAGGCGGGGAGCGGATGTGAATTCCTCATGGATACCCTACAGCCGACTGCAGGGTTATGTCAGTCTCTTACTGACTTAAACCCACCCGTAGTACATGCTTATGAGCAAAAGGGCCTTCATTTGAAGCGATCATCCCCTGAAAGAGGGATGATGAGGCACAGCGTTAGTTTAAACTATTACATAGTTTAGGTGGTGCACAAAAAATGAAGATACGGTACGCTCATACAAGCATCAAATAAAATATGCTCGGACTCAACTACATAAGCAACTCTGACGCACGCACACTTCTGTAAATAAACATTCATCGAGCGAGCGAGACAGAACTGTACGCTTCAACTCAGTGCGAGCGAAACGGCGAGTCCGCGTCCGAGTCCGATGCCGAGACGCATGGCTGGGCTGTATTGTTGTCCTTTTCTTGATAACAAAAAGCGATTACGTAAATAACATTTACGACAAAACATGATTATTGAGAAAATAATGTTTTTACAGTTTTGCGAATGAAAAGAGTTGCCGAGGCATTTGTTATTTGATTTTGAACTATTTGTGTTCTTTATAAAAGCGTAGAAGGCATTGTTTTATCTTTATAACAATATTGTTATATTGAGTACACATGCAGCGTGTTTAAATGTCCAATTGTGACTAAAGCGAATTGTGTTCATGCACCACAATTTTAGCGGATCACTTTTGAGCCGCGAGTGCCGTATCTTCCCTGTTTGTTTTAATCGGTTTTAATCTAAGGTCGACACTGTACTCAATTTAACTGTACTAAATGTATGAAACCGATACCTAGCCGGTGCGTCACGACAGACAAATATTTTCCGGCTTAAGGCTTATGTTATGCAAAACTAGGGTAATAAGAATAATATTTATATTCTAACACTCACACCATTAGCCCAGCCCCAAAGTAGGCACCGTAAGGCTTGTGTTATGGGATGGGATACTAAGGTAACAGATATAATACATACCAGGGGGCCAATCGCCTAACGGAAATGCTATGGGAAACGCTAACGCTTACGATTTTATATTGTTATTTCTGGCCGCCTGAGGTTTTCGAATACCTCACGCTCATTTTTTTAATATTGTTATTACCAATGCAAAAGAAAAAGAAAGAGCGCGAGGCATTTGAATACCTCAGGCGGCTAGAAATAACAAAATAAAATCATAAGCGTTAGCGTTTTCCAAAGCATTTCCGTTAGGCGATTGGCCCCCGGTACTGTTACATATACAAGTCTATATTTTTTATTGAGAAATACATTTAAACCTCCATGACTAAGTTACAAGTGCTCGTATTCATGATTCTCGCATACCACTCGGCCACGGAGGTCGTCTTATTTGGTAAGAATAAAAACCAGGAATTAATATGCACTTGAAAAGGGTGTCTTCAAGTTCAAACTTACAGAATCATCATCATCATCACCAGCCTATTACCGTCCCCACTGCTGGGACACAGCCCGTCCCTATGGATGAAATAAGGAGATTGGGCCGTGTCCCACCACGCGGGCCCAGTGCGTATTGATGGGTGCTAACGACTGCAGATGCAGCTGGGACCAACGGCGTAACGTGCCTTCCGAAACACGGAGCTCGAGACTGTACATTTTTGATCACCCATCCAATGACCGACCACTGCGAAAGTTGCTTAACTTTAACGATCGCAGCCGAACGCGGTAACCACCTGTGCCATCGAGCTCCTCTATTAAAAAATATACTTAATACATATAATAAAATGGTAGGAAAGTTGAATATTTTTTAAAAGAATACTTGGGGTGTGATCTGCAATTGATACCGAAGCCAAAAATATAGTTTTTAGAATTTTTGTCTGTTTGTCTATATGTATGTCCGGGATAAACTCAAAAAGTACTGCATGGATTTACTTAAATTTAGCACGAATATTATTAAGAAGTCGTGTCAACATATAGGCTACATATTGATGTCGATTCTGGCATGATTCTATAGAGCCAAATTTAAATTTGACAACAGTGCATCCTTGTCGTTCTCTATACAGAATGAAAAGGAGAGACTGATGTTAAATTTAGTTTTAAGTTTATAGAATCACGCCAGAATTGACATCGCGCTATCACCTACGGGAAACGAGCAGTGAACCTTTATTTCTAACTAGATCCACGCGCGTAAGAAGGCGCAGGCGGCCGCTTGTTAAACAATAAAATCCTTTTTCCATTTAAAAAATATATAATACTAAAAGTGTACCTTTCTATTACAGGTTCAAATCAGATATGCTATTTCAAGCTGTGCTCATTCGCGCCGCCGTCGAAGTAAATGTTGTAAAAGTAAACTGAAGTCGCCTCTCTGGTCTAAAGTGTTGTTTGTGACGTTCTTGTACGTTGTGACATACAAGAAAAAATCAAATAAATATTTGAATAAAAAAAATCTTTCATGTAATTATATTTACACTTTTATGAACCTATTCACAAATAACGTAATTCGATATTTGCAATGAACAATACAAGTCATATTGTACATTGAAAAAAGTCTTGTAAAATTGGTTATAGGCACAGGTGTATTTAAAACAATGGAACGACTGATTATAGGGATGGGATATTATCGATATTGTACATCGATAATATAACGGATTTACAATATAAGTACCTACATTTTTAACTAAATCGCCGAATTTAAAGGTATTGATGAAGTACCTACCTAAGTACTTTATCAATAGTACCCAAGTACTAATTGACTTATGTCTTAAATCGTTATCAAATACTTCTCTATACTTCAAACCATTTCACTAGCTGTTCCATTCTTTGTATATTATGTATTGTTCCTCACACATCTCAATTTTTTACATTATTCGGCCCCAAACGAAATTAAACACAATGTACCTAATACGTTTGAGCATCAACCAATTTATCGGTCCAGGGCAAGTTCAGGGTTTTACTTAACTAATAAGTAATCTGTGGTTTTACTACTGGACTCCTTTACGGTCGAATCACGTGCCTACTTAATTCTATTGAACGATAATTATGTTTTTTTTTAAAACAATGTAAATATTTATTCAGGATCGAAAATGCATGGCGCGCATTTATGTTGTGATAACACAATATCTTGTAAGTAATTAGCTAAGACGACTAAACTCCGTTTATGTATGTTTTACTTTTTATTTCCGCACAACTGAGTAAAGAACAGGTATAATCTGTTAATGAAATGCAAAGATTTTTTAATTTTTTAACGCTTACTTTGATCATCACTTCTTGAAAACGGCTCGACTTAAATATACACATAATTATGTATATTATCTTGAGTACTTACTTACCTATATCGGATTGAAATGTAAGAAAACTTGAATCACTTACAATATAAGTAATTATATCCGATAAATGGCTCTGCAGTGCATTGGTATTTTTATATTAAACTAGCTGATCCAGTGAACTTCGTACCGCCATAAAAATAGTGGTACGTGGTCGAAAAGTGAAATTTTAGGGTTGTACGTATTTTTTAATGCCGAATCATAAACAGAATGTCCAAAGAAAATCTATTTTTGAGGTGGACGTGGACCACCCTCATTGCTTAGGGGTACGAAAAATAGTTAACATTCTATTCTCAGATCTACTAAATAACTTTACACACAAACATTTCATAAGAATCGATCAAGCAAGCCGTTTCGGAGTTTTGGTACAAACACTGTGACACCAGAATTTTATATGAAGATTATCATTATGGACAACACGTCTCCGCTTGTATGCAATAATTTACCACTTAACTAACGAAATAAAATTAATATTATAATAAATGTTTGTAATGTACCTATTTATTCATATATGAACTTATTTTCCTTAATGAGTAAGATATCACCAAGAGATAAAGCGTTTGTAACATATTGTACTTAATATATGAACTATGATTAAATGTACCTGCTAAAGGAAACAGGTACTTACTATGTAGCCTAGCTACTTTTCATGTTTTAAATTAATTATTATCTTTTGTTATAAAATGAACTGATGATGAGTGGATGACTTAATAAAAGCTCTTGAATCGTCTTTAAATTATTTTCCTTACCATTCCTTTTATTGCTAGGTACGCAGCTAAATAAACGGACATTTTATTTATAATGTCAGACAAGAATATGACAGCTACAATTAATGACGTATATATATATAGACAGGTCATACACCAACATCATTGCGTTTTAAAATGGCACAAGTAGTCCCCGCCCCAACTTCCCTTGGCAACAGCCGCCACTAGAGCGCAATAAAGTAATCTCTTTTACTCTCATTCATAACGCAATTACATCTCGCTCTTTAGCTTTCACGTGTCAACGGTGTCAGCAACTGTCGAAATAAGTAATAACTAAATAATACATTAATTTCTTTAAAACTGTACTGACGAATGAAATGACTCGTTTTTCTTATCTCTAATAGTTCCCGCGTATTTTGTCTATTAACTTGTTGTGAAGTGTAGCCGCGGCGGCAGAGCAATTACCCGACTTTCGTGTTGCCATTAGAGATGGAAAAAACGGCTTATTTCTTAAAAGCGTTTAAACGTTGTACTTTTTAAAATAAGCGCGCTTGAAAAAAAGCTTTTTCGTTTAAACGCTTATTGGCTTAAACGTTTAAAAGCATGCGTAAAAAGCGCGACGTTGTGTTGTGTTTTCGTTTAGGTATATCGTTTAAAAAAGCGTGAAAGTTTATTGTCGTTTCGTTTAAACGATTATTGGCTTAAACGTTTAAAAGCATGCGTAAAAAGCGCGACGTTGTGTTGTGTTTTCGTTTAGGTATATCGTTTAAAAAAGCGTGAAAAGTTTATTGTCGTTTTTAATGTGTTTAAGTGTTTTATTGCGTTTTTTCTTCTTATTAATGAAATTTTTATTAAAAATTTTTTTTAAACCTAATGAACTGATTGGCATTAAAAACGAAAGATTTTCAATTGAATTTAGATTTTATAATAAACATTTTTATAATAGTCAATGAACTTTCCTTCTTAGTTTACAAGCTTAGGACTGTCTGGAGTTAATATACTCGTGATCCAGGCGTACTTAAAAGTTCATTGATTTTATATACATACTTTTAACTATTTTATATGCACATTAAACCAATACACGAAACGCATTAACACGTCAAGCAAGCATGCAAACACACCGTACAACACCCACGCGCTCTTACCCCGTCACAGTGACAAGCGTACTGCTTTTCGACTTCGTTTAATTAAACGCTTTTAACGAAAAAAGCGTTGGTTATCCGACCAAATTTTAAAAAAGTGCATTTTTTTACGTCGCATTATAATAATTCGCATTCTGTATTAACCGGCTCACGAAAGATGGCACGCCGACGCGGCGCTGTAGTCGCGCGTTCTATGTTTGTGATATTGTGAAATATTTAGTACCAAGGAATTCCGCGTACCCATTTTACGATACTGTAGTGGACTAGAAGGATCGAAGTATGTAGTTTCCTGGCAAAGACATAGATGGCAGGATTTGCACTTTTTAAGTAAAAAATATACTTGCACTTTTTTAAGTGAAAAGCTTACTCACACTTTTTAAGTGATAAGCTTATAAAGCTTATACTTAAAAGCGTGCTTACAAGCTTAATATTTTAAGCGCGCTTATTTAAGCGCTTTTCGTTTAAATGCCCACCGCTAGTTGCCATACTAGAAGCGTGTATGACCTACCTATCTATAACTTTAAAACATCATGGGCTACTATAGTAGGTATTATTAAACAAAGTTTTATTTTAATAATTTTTTTAACTATCTGCCATTCTATATTATACCGTTATAGCGTGAGCGTGAATAAAAAAAGGTGATATAACGTAAATTGTGGTGCTCATGCTACGGGGACTGGTAATGGATTCAGTTGAAGATAGAAATTAATACACTTTATATAAGTGATTGAATCTGACTCAAACATTTTATTAAAATTAAAATAAAGATTTGTTGTTATAGTTTATCCATTGTTTCTCTGTGGTATTTAAGGAAATAAAGGATTAATACAATAAGTTGAAATTTTATTTATTTAGTACCTACTCATTTCTACCTGGGAAAATTAGCCTGCACTACATCTTAAGCCCATTAATGTCCTCACTGCTGGCGTACAGGCCTGCCTTACACACTACCGATGGAATAGGGAGATTGGGCAAGCGGGCTATAGCTATGGCTATGACCAACCACACACACGCGCCAAATGTGGATTACTGGGCACTGGCGAAGTGCATCTGCTGCACCCCCAGATGGCTGCTTCACCTTTCTGCACATTGGATATTAAAATCAGTGCTGCCAACTCCAAAAAATATTCCATGCTAAATCGACGTTAAAAAAATGCCAAAAATATGCTAAATTTTAAAAAAATATGCCAAAATATAATGCTAACCACTAATGTCCATTACCGATATTTGTTATATAAGATTGTAACTGTAATGTATGTGATAAAATATTAGTGACAATTAGTAACAATACAATTATAAAAGATATATTAAGTTTAATGTTGATTAGTTATACAACCATTCTTTAAATTCTATCATTAATACCCACTCCGAACGTTTATGCTGAGTATATTCCGCAGTCATTGTTAAAATAATATTAGAAACAGAACAATACAAAATTACCACTACTACACGTGTAAATGTATTGTTTGTTTGCTAGCCAGCCAATTAACTAATATGATAATTAATGATTATCTAGTTAGTAAGTTGGCTTAATCATAAAATAACAATTCATTAATTCATTCATCTGTTTTTCAATTCGGGGATCCTCGCATAGTAAAGACAACGAAACGAGCGACGCATAGGACTAATTAAAATAGTTTTTGAACGACAGTGAAGTAGCAACTAGTGTGATATTTTTTATCGTTAATGGCTGAACAACAAAAAATTGATAAAACAGTGCACCGATTGGAGAGCGGTCACGGCAAAAATTGAAACGTAATTTAATAACGTAGCATTTCATTTGTATTAAGTTACAAGACAATATGCTAAAAAATATGCTTCATGCTAAAATGATTTTTTTAAAGCTAAATCACTTAAAAATATGCTAAATTTAGCCATAAATATGCTAAATTGGCAGCACTGATTAAAATATAGTAAATATATTCTTAAGATTTGGATAAAGTAAACATAATCATAATATTATGAACCATATATAAAACATGCAATCTCGCTATTTTAGACCCTGTGATTAAATTAGTCAGTCAATTGGACGCCCAGCGCCGGCAATGCCGGCATGTAAGTATAATGAAGCTAGGCAGATAGTAAATTGAACTGGAATTCATTTTAATTTCTTAGAACTTTCATTAAATCAAAAAAAAAAATGTTACCAACTTCAGGTTTTTTAACGTTTCGCATTTCCTACGTGATGCAATCAAAGAGTCAAATGACGTGATGCACCTTAGAGAAGTTCTTTTAAAAAACATATCGATATCGAAATCTCCAAAGAAGAAAATGAACTGAATATTTTTGTTCTACTTAGGAAGAAAACAATATAACAATTGCAGATTTCGTTGTATTGTTTTCTTCCTAAGTAGAACAAACTTTTACCTTCAACTAGGATTGAAGGTAAAAGTGCAAAAAATTGCAATTGCAGTGCAAATTTTTCATAAATAAACATAGGGCTCGTTACTTTCTAACATCCTCATTATTTTTATATATTATTTAGCATTTTCCCTGAAGTATTTCACAGATAACGCGGACCAAGTCACGGGCAAAAGCTATTCACAACTAAAATTACAATGATGAAAAAGTTAAATGATAGTTTTGTTAACTTTAACTAATCTAAGCGGCGATGCCGGTAACAGGAGGAGTTTGCCTACCGTTGCCGTATGCTTAAGAGGAAGGGAAGCCAGACATACTGGCGCCGTGTCGCGTTACGTAACGAAGCGGTTTACCTTTCCATATGAAGTTATCACTTCAAAAAAACCGTGATAGTTGTTAATTTTAATTATAATTTTAAACATAAATTATCGATATCGAGTAAGGATAACTTGAACTGCATTATTGCCCAGCTGTATTTGCGGTCTGTCAACGTCAATGTTGCCGGACGTCATTTACGTGCTGCATGCTCTCTCAGTTCAGTCAATATTTTTTCGTGGAAATGCATGAGTTTTAGTAAAAGTTATAAGTTAGAAGTATCATGAACGCAACAGTGTGACAGACTTTCGACATCAGCTACTTATTACCGATGGATAGTATAGATTTCTCATAACCTTTAGTTTATCATAAAAAGTTTCAAGCATAGTTTCCAATTATTATTGCGCCTTAATAGGTTAGGTTTACTGTGGTGTCGATTACAAAAAAATGACATTGCCGGTTGAGAATGGTTGTATGAGCTATGAAGGTAACGGTGATTGTGGCAGCAGAAAGCCGTCGGTGAAGCAGGCATATGCAGAGGGTGAGATGAATACTTTAATTTTTTTTTACAATTTATAACAAGACTTTATGGTATTTATTTACAAGTAATAATATGATACAGGCAATATGAACAAATTTAAGAATAATTAAAACAAAAAATATACTATAACATTGAACCTAAAACTAAAAACCTTAAAAAATAAAATACAATAACTAAAATACATTATTAAACAGAGTCCCTTTAGGCAAGGTTCCGAAGATACTGGCAGCATATATATATATATACTTGCATACTTTTATTTTTTTAATTGACTATTCCACTCAGATTTATTCTATGGTACCTATCTCCACACTGTCCTCAATTTTCGTAAAGGAACACATAACATAATAAATAAAATTCCGGTAAAACTGTACTTCCAGGGCCCAAAAGGTGATACTTGTTTTTTTTTTGTAGAAAAGGTCTTTTTAACAGATTTTTTCTGCCGCGGCACGCTCCCTTTGCTCGCTCGGCTCGCGCGTTATGGTCACAACACTAACCTAACCTAACCCAGTGTGAAGTATCACCACTTGATAAGAAAAGTAAAAAATTTCAATATTTTTTTCTAAAAAACTACCAGTGTATAAGTGTGAATTTTTTTTTAATAATGTGGTTAACAGAAACCTTTTTAACAACAAAAATGCGAAATTACAGCCAACAAAACTGTGAAGTTTTTACTTTTGGGCCCTGGAAGTACAGTATATCCAAAATTCCCATTAATCCCTTGCAATCAAAATTTATGTTTGTTTCTTAAGTGGATTCATTTTCATTTGCAATAGAGTGGACATATTTGCATGTTAAATGTCTCTTTTATTGCTACATAATAAAGGTGCTCTCATCGCCAAAGTGTAACCACCAATGAGCCTTTGATTGTACTTGTATTGCTTGAAGTCTGAATTCGATCTGTTTGGTTGTTTTGAAAACAAACTCAACTGGAATATTTCCACTCGTTATGTACTTTTCACAATGAGAGAAATGAACTTCTTAGCAATCCATGGATTCACCGTGTGGGTGCCAGGTCCATTGTGTGGTAGAGAGAGAAACTGAGCAGTTTCCGGGACTTGTGACCCAGGTGTAGGTTTAAGGAGGCCCCCTTTAAGATGCGCATCAGCCCTCACCTTCACTGCTCGAGTTGTCCGCCATTCCTAGCCAAATTTGATATGAGCCTGTTAGTGCAGCCATAATTACTCATTCCAAAATTGAACTTACTGCAGTTCTCGACAGGCCTTAAGAAGGTTATAGAGAGATATTGCTGGTATACCTCTCGCTCCTACTTCCACTGCATATATATTAACTAGATATCGATTTTCAGTTAGTTCGTTGGTTAGACCATAATATTTATTCAATTTTATTGTGTGGTCTTTTGGAATATTAGTTTCCCACTGAACAGTAAGCTATTCGGTATAATTCGAAAATACGAAACCAGCTTTATTTTCTCTGAGATGGATGAATGATGCAACACCCTCAAAAATTTCAATTCTATTAAAAGTAATGCAATCTATATTAACGGGCTACTCATTAAAATATGAAATACCCATTAATAGTATTTATCATTACCTAAACAGTAACTTGAGGAAATAACAGATCTATATAAATATTTATCCAATATAGTAAGTTCCTATTTTGGTTATAAATACTTATTACCTATTAATTTTAATAATAATGAATTCATGATCATCATCAACCTATTAATGTCCCCAATACTGGGGCACAGGCCTTCCCTATGGACGGAATAGGGCGATTGGGCCATGACCCACCACGCAGGCCCAGTGCGGTTTGGTGGGTGTGGTTTGGTGGTGTAATAATTAATTATTTATATCTAATAGTATTGAATTCATGTTATGACAAATCAGAAATATGTATGTGTTTCATGTTGTTCACAAGGTCTACATTATTTTAGTGTAAAAACACATGAGATGTGTAAGAATTAGGTTTAATAAACAAATATATATCGAGATCTGTGTCAGTCCAGTATTACATACAAACTGCATTGGGTATTTGCATCACAGAGACGATGAACTTTTGGTCATGTGATCACAAATTAATCTGAATAAAGTGCTATTACTGAACGACCCGACCAACCATAGATAATTTTTTTACCTCAAACAGAAACTAATGTCATAACATGATAGATTCATGACATATCAGATCAATCTTTCTTGTCTGTCATAATACTCCGAGCAAACAGATTTACATCAGACTAATCTGAGCGGAATTACCGAACAGTTGAGATTTACTCTAGATATAATAAACAAACGATTCTGACTAATAAAATTGATTAGATGCATATGTTACCGGCCAAACCCGATTTCAGGACAAACTAGTTTTGCCTAGGCTAAACTGGTTCTTCCTATGCGCGATAGGATTAACTAGTATAGCCTAGTCCAAACTAATTTGTCCTAAGCCCGATAGGATAAACCAGTTTAGCCTAGGCCAAACTAGTTGATCCTGATAAAAATACGCATACTCTAGGATAAACTAGTATGGCCTAGTGTAAACATTATAGTATATCTAGAAAGTCAAAATAAATAGATAAACTGAATAAAATAATCCGTAATTGGAAAAATAATATTTTTTATTAAAACCATAATGATTCATTGTTACAAGTTATGGATAATTAGTAATACAAAGAAAAGTAAGAAAAGTTTAATTTTTCTAGTAAACTTTTCTTTAGATTTAAACACCTAGCAGTTAAATGCTTAAAAATAAATAAAAACACTAACTATAATTGCTATTTCTTCTTTCAAATGTTTAATACTTGAAAAAGTATTCATTTGACATTGTGGGTTGCGTGGTTGCAACCTACAATGCGAAGAGATGGCGCTGCCTTGCAGCTTAAGGCTAGGAAAATTTCGACGCGGCGAATAGGGCCGTGGTAGCATAATGGTCAGTGCATTCGCCCGGATTGCGAAGGGTGCGGGTTCGAGTCCGGTCCGCTGCCTGGTCTGCGTGGTTTTTTTTTCTAGTAAACTTTTCTTAAAACATTTTGAGTTTACAGTGAGATGAATTGTAAAAGGTTCGAATGATTCGGAATTTCTTAAGCCGGGTAGTTACTCATTGGCGAGCTGTAACCATAACCGTTGCACGCACTGTAACCAAAAAGCATAGTGTGTACGTGGTTCGATAACCTGCTGCGAGAACGGTACGCGTGCGGTTTGAAGCGAGCCAACGTTCACAACTGAGCTACTAGCGTACACAGAACTTCGTACTGTATCACGCATGTTACGGTAACAGATCGCTAATGCGTACCCGGCTTTACTGTCTTCCGAACTCCCGGCAACAACAAAAGAGTTAAACAAAAACCAATTACAGAAAAAACACTCCCTCCACTTTCTTCCAGCGTTCTTTTTACATGACGCGCCCTGTACAAGTCCTGACATGTTTGTTCAATTACTTTCCGCTTTGCTAAATTGGTTTAGACTAGGTCGTACTAGTTTATCCTAGAGTAGCGGTGGGTCGTTCTCAAATTTTCTGACGACGAAACGCAACCGTTTTCTCTTAAACGAAAACTAGTCCTCAAAACAGTTCTCGTTCGCAACTGGTTTTGGTTGCGGCTGGGCGACGCCACGAAACGACACGCGACGGTCGAACGAATGTAACGCAACGAAACTGAACTAAATGAAATCTTGTTTACGTTCGTTTCGTTGCTGCGAACGAGACGATGAAACATCGAAATAAATGTAGTGTTATACGATAATCGATAATAAGTGTTCAATGATAAAGATTTTATTATTGTAAAATCAAAGCTTAATTATCATAGAACGAAACGGCCTCATATCATTGCGTTATATTATAGACTGTATTTACTTCATCATAACTAATCCGAGGACTAGTTGTTCGACGAAGACTGTTTTGATCCGAAACGTAAAACGGTTCTATCGTCGCGGAACACAAAACGGTCCTTGTAACCGGTTCGTCTTTAGAACGCTCACACCTATCCTAGAGTGTGCGTATTTATATCAGGATCATCTAGTTTGGCCTAGGCTAAACTGGTTTATCCTGTCGCGCTTAGGATAAATTAGTTTGGACTAGGCTATACTAGTTAATCCTATCGCGTATAGGAAGAACCAGTTTAGCCTAGGCAAAACTAGATTGTCCTGAAATCGGGTTTGGCCGGTAACACATATAACAAGTGAAGCCACTGGATCACAAACCTTATCTATTTATTTTTTTGGTATATTATGATATAAATTGAGTTATCCGTCAGTGCAGCATTATATACTGTATCACCAACCTCATCCATATTTTTTAGACCTGGTATAATGTTCACCATTTTATCATAAATTTCATAGTTTGTAATATTAATTTAAGTAAAATAATTTAAACTAATAAACTAAGACTCAAATTATATAACAATATGTACAAATCAGTCGGCAAATAACTTTCCAGTCAAATTTTTTATTAAAGTGCTGTAAGCTATGTACTGTAATTCATGAGCCCAATTGATTTGAGTAGTTGGTCCAATATCAGTAATTGTCTGTCTGAGCAACTGGCATACTTATCTGTTCATTGACTCACCAGTTCTGCTACTGGGCATCGCGTGCTGAAAATGTGGCTCATACTTAGTAAGTTACTTTTTAATAGTTTTTGTGATAAAGTAGTTTATTTCTTCATCAGATACAGTTTTTTATAAAATCATCTAGGATGACATGATTTTAATACAATTTTATTTAAAAATTTTACCAAATTTAAATAAATGAATTTAGAGGCATGCTTATATTTCTATTAAATGTTCCATTTATTTAATGAACATGACTAGACACAAAATAAAGGCCTTTATTATTATTATTATAATACTAGCACCCTCGACTTATTTGCATGGTTCAATTGAATCCCCATACAAACTACCACCTTCCTATTTTACCCCTTTAAAGAATTATATTTTGTGCGATAAAAACGATTCTATGCCAAATTTACATCAAATGTTTGACAGCTGGTTTGTATGGGAAAAGAAAAGTGTATCTTTTTATTGTTTTCCATGCAATTTTTACGATTTTTTCTCTCTGTTCTGTGTGCCTTAAGAAACTTTAAAAAATAATTGCTGATTTGGTCTAGCTATTCTAGAGATTCGCGCTTAGCAACATTCATTTTTATATACATATATATAGGTTATAATGTCAATACAGCCTCTAGATTTACGGAAATCAATTTTCTCTAACAATTGTATACAATAATGTTTGTTACTGCCTCTATTTTACTTCCAATTGCCAACTTAACTTATGAATCTTATATACAGTAGGACGCCGATTATCCGAATTAATTGGGACCGGGGTCGATTCGGATAATCGAAAATACGGATAATCGGACATAGACAAGTAATAAAGAAAAACGAACTGCCACACATAGAATAAACTTTATTACGTTTAACAAACACAGTTCTACAATACTAGATACAATAATAGAGGTACATAGTAGCAAAACAAAATTAAGAACAGTAAAACATGTAGTGTCTTGCCTCTAGCTTTCAACCATTAACAGTTGATATAAATATATATAGGTATTTAACATACTCGCTGGACTTTAGCGAGTTCCAACTTATTAGAACAAAACAAAAATGACTTGGTTTTAATTTTTTATATTACGCTTATGACCGATTCGGATAATTGGCGATTCGGTTAATCGGCGTTCGGATAATCGGCGTTCTACTGTACTTATATGTGTTTTGATTTTTTATCTATAGTATGGAACTTTACATTACAGATTGCCAAGCATTAATTGAAACAATAAGTAACCGTATTTTTTATGATGATTTGCAAAAAAGTTGAGAAGGAATAGGTACACTCAAGTCAGTGATGTAAAATAAAACAGATTTTGCTATATTAGCAATAAATATTGTGCTCTGTTAAGATTTCTGTATAACAATTAGTAGACTATTGAAATGAGATCTTATGTAGAAACTATGTCAGCATAATTCATATAAGGAGGTCAATTGAGTTACTGTGGATGTTAGAAATAAAATTGAACTTGCATAATATTTTCACTACCACAAAACTATTGCAAACATAGTAAAGAAAAGTATTTACCACAATAACATAAAATATAACTTTTACTTAAATTATGGTTTTTAGTCTTTAATTTGCCTGCATGGTATAATTAAAACATAGCACATTCATTAAATTGTCCATAGGAAAGACTTTGCCCATGCAGTGGGAATGGCTTTAATAATTTATATTTATACTGTATGACACAGCAATCAAAATGCAGGTGAACAATTAATGTATATTTCACATTATGTAATGAAAGGTGAATTGATGAATCATATCTGTAGTAATTTTTCAACTTGACGACTCTGTAAATAATAAAACAGGGAGATAAAAACCACATCTCTTGCTGAGTTTCTTGCCGTTTCTTCTCAGTAAAAGGTCTCCCGCCATAGATGTAAGAACCGATGGCGTAGCTTCTAGACATTCATGAGTGTTTGTAACAGCCTAAACTGAATAAATGATTTTGATTATGATTACAGCTGATGATGATGATGATAACACTCATTATTATAGGTATTTTCTCAGTTCCAGTTCCATATAAAATGTATGTACACACAAATTCAAAATATCGTTAAATGGTATTAAATAAAAAAAGTTACAGTTTACAATTAATTTCGAACTTTAAAACTAACTACCGAGAACATAAATTGATATTATTGTTTTAGGGGGCATAAAGGCGGGAGCTTCCCGCGTTGCGAGTATAGCATACAGCGTCCTCTCGCGGCGTAAGGCGGCGGAAGAGGGCGCTGCGAGGCTAGCCAGGGTTCTGTCAGCGCTCGACCTCACTGCCCTGGGTGTTGGCAGCACCCTGGGCGTGGGCGTCTACGTACTAGCTGGGGATGTGGCCAAGAACTATGCAGGACCAGCTGTGGTGCTATCATTCTTACTGGCCGCTGTGGCTAGCGTGTTTGCTGGTAAGTTTTTGATAGGTTTGGAAATATTCATTGAATAATTAGTAAGCATACAGCAGTATTACCGGCGGAAGAGAGATTGTTAGGTTAGCCAGGGTACTGTCAGCGCCCGACCTCACAGCGTTGGGGGTTGGTAGTACCCTGGGGGTGGGCGTCTACTTACTAGCTGGGGATGTGGCCAAGAACTATACAGGACCAGCTGTGGTGCTATCATTCTTACTGGCCGCTGTGGCTAGCGTGTTTGCTGGTAAGTTTTTTATAGGTTTGGAAATATTAATTGAACAATTAGTAAGCAATATAGCAGTATTACCGGCGGAAGAGAGATTGCGAGGTTAGCCAGGGTACTGTCAGCGCCCGACCTCACAGCGTTGGGGGTTGGTAGTACCCTGGGGGTGGGTGGATACTAGCCGGAGATGTGGCCAAGAACTACGCGAGGCCAGTTGTGTGGTGCTTTCACTCTTGCTGGCAGCTGTGGCTAGCGTTTTTGCTGGTAAGTTTTTAATAGTTTTGATAATTTTTATAGAACCACTAGTAAGTATACAACAGCGTTAACAGCGAAAGAGGGATTATGTGATGAGTGAATGAGAATTATCTCTCGCTGCTCTGTGCTTTCGAAGACACTTGACTTGAATATAAAAGTAGATTCGTTTTAATTGGAACGTTGCCTTGGCTAAGAAAAGTATACGACTGGATGTTAGGTTCAGATTCACTGTGTGGGTGCTGGGTCCATCATATGGGAGGGAGTGAATCTCTGAGCAGTTCCCGAGACTTACAACCCAGGTATAGGTTTAAGAAGGCCCCTTTAAGATGCGCACTTCCTAGCCAAATTTGATAGGAGCCTGTTAGTGCAGCCTTAGTTACTCGTTCCTAAATTTAACTTACTGCAGTTTTTGACAGGCCTAGGTCTTTTTTATTGAAGACCTCCGTGGCCGAGTGCTTTGTACGCCGGGTTTCATGGTGTCGCCGACTCGAGAGGTCCAAATCCCGGTGGAGGCAGATGTTTGTGTGATGAATACGAGCATATGTACTCCAGTCATGGATGTTTAATATGTATTTCTATAAAAATATACTTATATAATGTACAGTATATGTATTCTATCCGTTATCCTAGTATCCCATAACACAAGCCTTATTAGTGCTTACTTTGGGGCTAGGCTAATTGGTGTGAGTGTTGGAAATATTTTATTTATTTATATATAAGGTTATAGAGAGATTTTGCTGTTATACCTCTCGCTCCTATTTTCACCGCATATATATTAACTAGATAGCCATTTTTAGTTCGTTCATTGGTTAGATCGTAATACAATTTATTTTTAATTTATTCAATTTTATTGTGTAGTGTTGGCTTGGCTAAGAAAGGAATACGACTGGATGTAAGTTTAACATCATTCCCATTAGTCATACCTTGACAACGCTAAATTTGCCATTGGTTGGGTCTACAGTAGTGTTGCCAGGTGCACCGATTTGCGCGGGACGTCCCGATTTTCAGGGGTCTGGGGACGCGTCCCGATTTGTACCTGATCGGGACGCAAAATGTCCCGATTATTCAAAAAAATTAAATTTAGGTAATATATATATATATATACTAGTATACTTGCACTAGTAGTTTAAAACGCAATAAATTTTACCCAGACTTATATACCCCTTGTTTTTTGTTTACTGTTCCGATCTGAGATTCCGAAACAATATTATCTGAGGGAGTACAACTATTTAACGAGCTACCAGATGAAATAAAAAATTGCGATTATAAAAATACATTTAAAAGTAAATTAAAAGAGTATATATATCACACTTAACTTCAAAATTTTATAAGAAGGAAATTCTAAGAATATTGTTATCACAAAGCTGTACAATAAGTCACAATAATGTAATTGTTTGTATACTGAACCGATACTGCAGAAGCGGTCACACAGTAATATCAGAATGTAAAATTGTAAATCTCTTTATAAGTAAACTGTATGTTTTTATGAGAAATAAACTCTTTGCATCTGCAACCCTAAATCCGATTGTTTTGACCTCATGTACCGATTTAAAAGAAATCTGAAATCAATATATCTTTATTCAAATTGGATGTATAGTACAACACTTTTGAATCGTCCAGACATTTTTTTTCCCTACCACTCGTTATTGGACATATTTTTTAGCACCTGGACAAATCGGACCTGGCAACACTAGTCTACAGCCTAATACTACATTCAACTGGGAAGGAAGGACTTGATGTTGAGCCTTTTATAAAAATATATATGTTTTTGTCGCCAGGTCTGTGCTATGCAGAGTTCGGTGCCCGAGTCCCTAAGGCAGGGTCCGCCTATGTATACAGCTATGTGTGTGTCGGAGAATTCATAGCTTTCATCATCGGTTGGAATCTCATACTAGAGTATATTATAGGTAAGTGTGAATTTAACGTGTCGAAGGAGAAATGTTAAAAAAAGTACAGAATTAATTTGATATTTTTTTTGGGGGAAAAAACATATTAGAACAAAAACTGCTCAGCGTAGGTTTCGGACTGGAATCGAATCAGTAGTTTTCTTTATCCGAGCATTAGCACTGACCATTTTGCTACCGAGGCCACAATGGACGTTTGCTAGTTTCTGGGCATTTGTTAGGCTAGGAAGTAGAATTTATTTTCTCAGATAAAGAATCAGAGCAGAGTAGATTTACTCTGCCCTGCAAAACTAAGTATCACATGTTTTTTTTCTAAACTACAGAAGTTACAGATTTTAATTAAAAAAAGGTTTTAAAACAAATTTTAACAAAATAAGCATAAGCAAAAACAAGAATAAGCTTGGATAAGTTACTCAATGTTTTGTTTTGTTTTGTTCATTGAATGACAAATGGCATTTGAGTGATGGGAACTAAACACGGTCACGGTAATATTATCTATACAGTATTCTGACTCCGCCCTGTCCTTGAAATAAATGCCTACACCGAGCGCTGCGTTGGCACGCGGTAGGGCCGCCCGCCTACAGTATTTTATGTAGTTTTGTTTTTAACGCGAGTGTAGGTAGATTACTCGTTTGTCTCTTTTTTCGTCCTAACCACTTTTTTATATATATTTTGCCCGATGGAAAAACCGAAATACCTAAATATTAGTAACAAATAACGTACTAGTAGATAGGTATATAAAAATATTCTATAAAGGTAAGACACCTTTCCAATATTTCAGGTAATTTATAAAATGATATCTCTGGGTGTGTTATTGAAGAGTTCAAGCAACCAAAAACAGCAATTGTGCTGTTGTACGATATTGATCGTCGTTTGTTCTTTTCCATACTAAATTATGTAGGTATCTACTTAATTAAATCAAATATTTACAATACAAAACGCACGTTTAAGCACGGCTAACTGCAAAAAAAACAATTCAGACCGTTCGGTCGTCGTTGCGGCGCTGCGGCGCATTCGCGACTGGGTGCCCGCCGAGAGCACATCGAACTCGAGCGGCGTAGGTATGACTCGCTTTCCGACCGTTTGTATAAAGATAGAATACTGTATGATATTATTACCGTGACACGGTCTAACTAAAAGGGGAATGAACTTAGACGTTTATTCCCCTTTTATGAATAAGGGGGTAGTAGTATAAACGGGCGGGCACAAAGTGTGTGCGGTCCGGTGAGTGATCGACGCGTGTCATCTGAACGCGCCCTAACTATATCTAAGCTCTAACTTTCTTTTCTGCTCCATAAGAAAAGATGTGAATTTAATAAAATGTGATCTAAGTAGTGATTATATAATTAACTTTTTTTAAGACAAAAATTACGAGTATGCAAATTGGACCGCTGTCTTTTTTTTCTTGAGATGATGAAATATATCTGGATTTTACGTAATTTATGCATTCATATCCATTGACAGTGGGTCAAGGTTAGCGAATGTTATTACAAAAGATGCATTATTCAATCAAAAGTTTGATATAGAGAATCATTGCATTCATTAAATTGACCTTACTGACTTTGGAATGATTATGTTTTAATTTGAGGTGACCCAATGATAATGCTTACTTATATCATTCAATTAATGGTGTATTGAAAAGAAAGAAACAGACCATCATATTATATAGATCAGATAACAGTACTTATAAAACTTGTGTTTTTTTGAAGTTATACTTCTTTAGGCGCGTTATGAAAAAATGATGAGAGTGAAATTTTAAGATGCGCGCGCATCACTGTAACACAAAATTTTAACAGCATGAAGTTGGTCGCTGCGTTACTTTTGTGTTTAGCGCACATTAAGAAAATCTACCAACAAAATAGAAATAGAATCTCTATTTAGTGGGTGCTAACGACTGCATTGTGAAGGCCTATCAAAAGTATTTATTAATCTGGAACAACGGAACCAAAGCGCGATTCAGGAGACTACAGCGCCATCTCTTGACCATTGGTGTAGTAGAACCAAAAACCACATCTTTATTTTTTGTAATAAAGTAACAGTTATAGGTATTCATATTTATAATATTTATCCACATGTTTCTAGTTTGTATATTCGGAATACGTGTTTGAGTTTCATACAAGTGCAAATCACATATGTTCTAATAAATTATATTCAGTAGCGATTTTAATTGAATATTTTGATTATTTATTTATTTTTTCAAATTAAAACTGAACTTTATTGACTGTGTCCTTTTCCAGACTTTTTATTAATTTATTGTAATTAATTATTTGCATGCAATTAAAAACTAATTTTAAACGATGCCAAAGAAGGATAACTTCTCACGCGCCTACTTAAGTACACGCACCCATTTTTTTTATATAGATAGGTCCGACAAATGTCTCCACCCCACCTGATGTTAAGTGAAGGTGAAGTTTAGACGCGAAGATAACTGATACAGCAGTTCTACCTGCCACACCAGCCATCCTCACGGCAAGGTTTGCATGTTGCTTCTTCACGCCTCTTTTAAAGGATCCCAGGTTGTAAGAGGTAGGGAACACGTGAGCGGGCAGAGCATTCCATTTACGGATAGTGCGACAAAGAAATGAGTCACCAAATTTCTTTGTACGCGTTGGAATTGTGGCCACAGTAAGACGGTGACAACGTAGGCCAGCGCGCGTGGTCCTCTGAAGGAACATTCAGGTTTAGGTTAAATGGGTTTCCTTGTAAGTCTACTTTTTAGGGTTCCGTAGCCAAATGGCAAAAAACGGAACCCTTATGGATTCATCATGTCTGTCTGTCTGTTGTCCATCTACATGCCACAGCCACTTTTTTACGAAACGATAAAAAATATGTGATGTACATTACCATGCAAACTTCCACCGAAAATTGGTTTAAACGAGATCTAGTAAGTAGGTTTTTTTTAATATGTACGTCATAAATCGTAAACAGCAATTTTCCTTTCATTTAATCAACTCAAATATAAAAATAAAACATATAACTTAATAAAAAAAAACACTATTAAAAAAAAATCCACGCGGACCAGGCAGCAGACGAGACTCGAACCCGCACCCTTCGCAATCCGCGGTAGCATAATTGGTCAGTGCATTCGCCCGGATTGCGAAGGGTGCGGGTTCGAGTCCCGTCTGCTCGCGGCGCATAAGGCATAGCATAAGGGAATGGAGCAGAACAACACGTAGTTACTCCGTGAGCATGGCGCTTGCAACAGTGCCGAAATATCGGAAACTCGCTAAAAACGAGGTACATGGTAACAAACCCGTTAATAACATATATTACTATAATTCGCTCGATGGAGCTCGATAGCGCAAGTGGTTAGCGCGTTCGGCTACGATCATTGAAGTCAAGCAACTTTCGCAGTGGTCGGTCATTGGATGGGTGACCAAAAATTTACTATCTCGAGTTCCTCCGTGCTTCGGAAGGCACGTTAAGCCGTTGGTCCCGGCTGCATCTGTAGTCGTTAGCACCCGCCAATGGCCATGGACCCTTTCCCCCCATATTCCATCTATAGGGAAGGCCTGTGCCCCAGCAGTGGGAACATTAATAGGATGATGATGATGATTACTATAATTATTTAATTTATTTGCAACAGGTGCGGCGTCAGTAGTGAAGGCTTTGAGCGAGTACTTGGACTCGTTGCTGGGCAAAGCGATGTCCACGCACCTGCAGGCCGCGCTGCCGCTGGACTCGCCGCACCTGGCGCGCTACCCGGATCTGTTCGCGTTCGCGGTCATCATGATATTCTCCGGTACAAAAAATAACGTTTATGATAGTATTATATATATATTATATTAGTCTATATTAGGTCTTTGCGTTACGAGCTCAGCTCAGTGCGAAAACCACTGTTTAATTGTCAGGTATGTTAAAATTTTTGTATTGGTGAATAAATATATTTTTGACATTTTGAGTAGGTATTGCCAGTCAACGATATTAAATACCTACCTAGATACATCAACACGAACAAAATCATGCCCGAAACCTGTCCAAAAGGTACATTGGCGATCCACGGAGCTCCGTAAGATAATCGCATAGACTAAACAATATAAGTCATTATTTAAACATTGAAATCACCTTTAAAGCAAACTTTATGTGGTCTTAATCAAAATGCATGCGTCAAAGAGTTTTGACAGTCCGAGATGTGTAAGCTCGTAAAATTTTACGACTTATTGCTATATGCGGAAGAATATAGACCATATTTCTTTGACTCTACGCGCAATTCTGAATGCGCTGTTATCAATACAACAGGTACGGACCGCCAGGAAAAGAGACGGCTATATTACCGACCATGCATTTGAATATCACAAATAGTTTCTGTTAAACCAGTTTATAGTAAGTATTAAAACAAAATTTGCTTCAAATGCGTTAAATTTGATATCTGTCGAAAAAACGACATTTTACATACTATAAGTATTCATTTCGCATTTTTTCAGGGAGCTCAGCGGCATGTTGACTTTTCAACGGTCCGCGCGTGACTGTGAACCAAAAAGTGCTGGAGTCGTGTTCAAGCACTTCTTGATAGGGACACATTTTGAGTGCACGTGGTGTATCTAGGCTATTTAATATCGTTGATTGCCAGTAAGCCGGGTACTCACTAGTGACCTGTAACTGTAACCGAATAGGAGGCCTATTGTGCTAAATGTCAAACGACTGAAACGCATTGAATCGTTGACATACGCAACTTTTTATGACATTTTGTATCGCGCTAAAGTTTTGACAGCTAGTTAAGATGTAAACGTATCACGATTGGACCGTACTCCAGTGAACTTTATTTAAAACATAAAGTAGATTTCAGTTCACAAGTGAAACTTACCGCGATATCGATTTCGTATAAAGTTGAGTTGCAATTAGAATTGGATTAAGATTGAACCGTAATTGAACTTTGGCGTATAGTTCAAAATAATAAATACAGTTAGGAACGTGGTTTCAATGTCCGCGCGGAAAGCGGCAAACTGGGGCATAATTACTGAGTAACTTTTTTCTTTCGCGATACCGTAAGTGAGGTTTACTTTAGCTCGGGCGGGTAACTTTGTCCCAAATCACAAAAAATATTGAACTTGCCGCCCCATCAGTATCTCTTGGGTGACCGTAATAGTTCCAGTTGAAAATCACAGATAGCCATATAGGCGCGTAGTGTGGTGTTTTTTTACCGACATCGTATCAAGTTGTCATTGTAACGCGGCATTTTTTGTAACTGAAATAGTTCGCAAGTTCATGCGCAAACTTTCTCAAAACTGTGGTTTTCGGTAAGTTTACTATTTTTTCTAAATTTAAAGTTATATTTTTTATTTAACTTAATTATTTATGGGCAAAAACATCCATTTGTGTATTCAGTATGCTAATGGTGATCTGTTATAAGGGTAACTTTTACCCCAACATGGCTTTAAATGAGTTTTTTTCACAGAGAAAACTCAACGAGCTAAAGTAACCCTCTTTAAGGCCAACTTTGGCCCAAAATTTTAAAAATATATATTAACCCTTAAATATTATTTTTTCATATTTTCGTATGATAACTTTGTAACTTATACTTTAAACTTCACAATGGAAAGATATAAATGTGACATATTCGTCACAAAGAGAAGCTACAATTTTATTTGAAAAAAAGTGCACATTTTAGGTCAAAGTAACCCGCAGTTACTCGGTATATATTTTTATGTATATTTTTGCTACAATGGTGTCTTGACGACCTCCGTGGCCGAGTGGTTTGTACGCCGGGTTTCATGATGTCGCTGATTCGGGAGGTCCCGGATTCGAATCCCGGTGGGGCAGATGTTTGTGTGATGAATACGAGCATTTCTACTAAAGTCATGAATATACATATATATGTACAGTATATGTATTCTATCCGTTACCCTAGTATCCCATAACACAAGCCTTACAGTGCTTACTTTGGGGCTAGGCTAATTGTTATATATATTATTATATTTCAGACAAAAATTCTTGGGTTTAAACTGTTCCAAACGTTCCGGCAGGCTTGTTCTATAATTATGATGAAGATGATATGATTTTTTATTGACAGCGTAACAATATAATATTTTGTAAATGTTATTACATAATTTAAGGCTATGATAAAGGCTGTGAATTTTTTTTTCTCTTTATTTAAAGGACTTTTATCTTTACAGACATGTCAGTCCCATCGTGTACTTATATAAATTAATAAATCATCTAAGCCAATTAACGTAATATGTTATTGTCGGAAGAAAGTCGCGGCAGACATATAAAGCGATACAGGATTCTAGCCTCTTCCGAGACCGGTTGGGCCAGAATGCTGTGAAACACACCAATGTCTGACATATTCAATTTACATTTGTTAACAAACTCTTGTCTCTCATTCTGGTACCCGACACAATCCATCAACAAGTGCTGGAGATCTTCTAAAACACAGCATACTCCATAGTTGGGAGACTCAATTTTTTTCATAAGATATTCAAACTTGTTACATGGATAATGTCCAGAACGAAGTTTATTTCGCCAGTTTTTCTCCACAGCTAAAAAAATGTCCTTAACTGGTGGAAGGATGAAATATGAACGATTCAAAAGAGTTGTCTTTGGCATCCAATTTCAAAGCCAAATAATATGTTAAAAATGTATGTACTTTTTGTAGTGGCACTCGCGTTCGGTGTGAAAGAGTCGACGAAATTCAACAATTTCTGCACCGGCGTCAACCTGTGCGTCGTGCTGTTTGTCATCATTTCTGGTTCCTTCAAAGGTGAGACGTTATGTTTGACTAGCTGTGCCCAAAACGTAGCCTATGAGTTAAACCAGGGTGTGAGCTAACTCCATACCAAATTTTATTAAAATCGCTCCAGCCGTTTAGACGTGAAGAAGTAACAAACATACACACTCACGAACTTTCGCCTTTATAATATTAGTGTGATAATAATCGATTCAAATTCCAAACTGACCATGTACGGATTTTTCCAAATCTTTTTGACATTAATTAAGAAATCCTTGACGAATCTCATTATTTTAGTAGTGTATTTTACATTTAGCAACTTAGTAAAATTCCAACAAAATGTACATCTTATTTAATCGATTTCTAATCTTGAAAGAAGTAAGTAGCAGAAAGGAGATTGAAACGATTACATACAATCTTGGGCCTAGGTGTAAGAAGATGAAAGTGGTTTCAATTAATAGCTTATATATTATCAACCTTTCTCTGAAAATTGTGCGGATTTTGTCAATCTGAGAACAGAGATATAAGAGATAAAGTAAAAGTGAGATTATGTTAAAATTTTTAACTAACAGCTGATTCCTGAAGTGCAACAATTTTTTCCATTTTTTACTAATTGTAACTCGAGTTTTTATAAAATAAAATGTTTAATACAACGAAGAGTGTGTATTATATAAAGATATTTTGACTTTTGACTTTTCTGACTATTGATTGTGGTGTGTGTGTGTGTGTGTGCGCTGGAAATATATATATTTATTTAATGTGTTATGTCAGCTGACACGAAGAACTGGCGTATCCCGGCGTCGGACGTGCCTAAAACTGAAAAGAAGGACTTCGGCGCGGGCGGGTTCGCTCCGTACGGATTAGCGGGCATCATAAAAGGCGCTGCGGTTTGCTTCTACGGCTTTATTGGTGAGTTGAAGTCTTGACGTTTTTGCAACGATATTAAATACCTTAGATACACCACTAGCACTTAAAATGTGTCCCAATCAAGAAGTGCTTGAACACCACTCAAGCACTTCTTGGTTCAAAGTCACGCGCGGATCGTTGAAGTCAATATCCCGCAGAGCTCCGCGAAAAAATGCGAAATAAATACTTATGGTACGTAAAGTGTCCCTTTTTTCGACAGGTATCTAATAAATGTTTGTTAATTTAACGCATTTGAAGTTATGATACTTACTATAAAACTGATTTGATAGAAAATATTTGTAATATTTAAATGCATATTCGGTTCAATAGTTGTCTCCTTCCTTGCGGTCCGTACCTGCTATATTGCTAACAGCGCATTGAGAATTGCGCGTAGAGTCAAAGAAATGAGATGTATATCTTCCGCATATAGCAATAAGTCGTAAAATTTTACGAGCTTGCATTTGAATCGACATAACTCTTTGACGCATGTGTTTTAATGAAGCCCTTATATAATATGCATTAAAGGTGTCTTTCAATGTTTTTAATGCCTTATATTGTTTTTACTAAGCGACCATCTTACGGAGGTCCGTAGATCGTCCCATGTACCTTTTGGTCAGGTTTCGGCCTTGATTTTGTTGGTAATGTTGCGTCTAGGGTATTTAATATCGTTGCGTTTTTGGCAAAACTTTTCATACATTCAGACAGTAATTTTTCAAGTTTCGTATTACTTTAATTTGATAGTTTTTTAAAATGAAATGATTAAATTAAAATGAAATATATCGATAGTGGAAAGGCGAAATCATAAATTAGTTATATAGCTGAAAATGTGAAAATTTAATCAAACTTCCCGCTTTACGTTATGTTACGAGAGATCAGTACAGCACAAAAACTTGTTCAGAACCCCATATACTTCTGCGTCCACCTGTTATGTTTCGTGAAGATTTGAGTACTTTTTGGCTTGGGTTTAAACTGTTCCAAACGTTCCGGCATATAAGAGAAAGAAAGAAAGAAAGAAAAACATTTTATAATAATAATAATCCTCTCTCTGGGGCCCTAACCACCGGTAGCTAGGACCCTGTTCCCGCTGCCGGTTGGCTTCTATTTTTTATATTTTCTAGAGGTTTTGGTGAACATTTGGTTCACTGGTTTGCTAGTTACAATTAATACATTAAACTATAATGCCGGCCCTCCACACAGCCATCCGTTCCCGCTACCCGTCAACGTAGCAACAGTCCCTCCCTATTTTCCCCATACGGCCGATAAGGGTAGCCTGCTGTCCAGCCCGAATGACGCATCGCAAGTAAGGGCTAGCGCATATATACAACTTATGCATCGACTAAACTGTTTTGTTGCGTTTTGTTGTTCTCGTGATTTCCACACAACTAAACCGTTTAGTTGAGGAAGGTACGCATACAATAGACGCAGTCGATCGTCGATTCTTTTTATCTCCTCAATTCGACCAATCTTTATTTAGCTACGCTCGAATCAAGGTGTTACAAATAATGTCAATTAACAAGAAAGTTCGAATTTGTGCTTTGCTTAATAGAAATTTTAAATATTGATATTGTATAAAATCTTTGTTTAATAAATAAAATCATACCATCATCATCATCGACCATCTTACGGAGGTCCGTAGATCGTCCCATGTACCTTTTGGTCAGGTTTCGGCCTTGATTTTGTTGGTAATGTTGCGTCTAGGGTATTTAATATCGTTGCGTTTTTGGCAAAACTTTTCATACATTCAGACAGTAATTTTTCAAGTTTCGTATTACTTTAATTTGATAGTTTTTTAAAATGAAATGATTAAATTAAAATGAAATATATCGATAGTGGAAAGGCGAAATCATAAATTAGTTATATAGCTGAAAATGTGAAAATTTAATCAAACTTCCCGCTTTACGTTATGTTACGAGAGATCAGTACAGCACAAAAACTTGTTCAGAACCCCATATACTTCTGCGTCCACCTGTTATGTTTCGTGAAGATTTGAGTACTTTTTGGCTTGGGTTTAAACTGTTCCAAACGTTCCGGCATATAAGAGAAAGAAAGAAAGAAAGAAAAACATTTTATAATAATAATAATCCTCTCTCTGGGGCCCTAACCACCGGTAGCTAGGACCCTGTTCCCGCTGCCGGTTGGCTTCTATTTTTTATATTTTTAAATGTTTTTATTTTTATATCAATATTTAAAAATGTAATCAATATGGTATACAATAAATAAAGAGAATAATAATAATATCATTTATTGTCAGACAACACAGATCCATATGTTACTATACAATATAACTTATAACTAAGGGTTAGTAGCCTATAAGTAAGTATTCACAAAAGTTTTTTAGCCTTCACAGCATTAACTTATAGATACATTTTTTTATTAAATAGTGAAACATAGTTAGAAGGATAAAAGATAAAAAATAAAAATAAATAAAAACATCGTGCCGTGGAATGCCAATAGGGCGCTGCCTCAGCTATGCTGTGTGGTAACCGCTATCGCGATACCACAGCAGCGCTGATTTTCAGTCTTATGGCAAAGGCGACTAGCGAATGCCGGAATAAGCGAGACAATAACACAACAAAGAACACAATTATACATATAACGGAATACAATTCTAATTAATGACTAACGCATACATTACAATTAATACATCTCTAATCTATTAGACAAGTCCGTCCGTCCGTCCGTCCGTCTGTCTGTGGTGCTGTTTCAGCGGCCAAACCGTAAGAGATAGATAAAGAGAATGTTTAAGTTATAAGTTAAGAATAGTCTGACAAGACTACAAACCGGATGTGAGTAACGTAGCACTTCCGGTTTTCGAGAAATCACGAATTTCAAACAAAACCACACAAAATCTCCGAAGTTCTCAATTAATTAAATACATTTTTTTTTAATCAGGTTTTGGTGAACATTTGGTTCACTGGTTTGCTAGTTACAATTAATACATTAAACTATAATGCCGGCCCTCCACACAGCCATCCGTTCCCGCTACCCGTCAACGTAGCAACAGTCCCTCCCTATTTTCCCCATACGGCCGATAAGGGTAGCCTGCTGTCCAGCCCGAATGACGCATCGCAAGTAAGGGCTAGCGCATATATACAACTTATGCATCGACTAAACTGTTTTGTTGCGTTTTGTTGTTCTCGTGATTTCCACACAACTAAACCGTTTAGTTGAGGAAGGTACGCATACAATAGACGCAGTCGATCGTCGATTCTTTTTATCTCCTCAATTCGACCAATCTTTATTTAGCTACGCTCGAATCAAGGTGTTACAAATAATGTCAATTAACAAGAAAGTTCGAATTTGTGCTTTGCTTAATAGAAATTTTAAATATTGATATTGTATAAAATCTTTGTTTAATAAATAAAATCATACATTTTTTTTATTAATTTATTTACTAACATGCTTGTGGCCGCCCGCGACTTCGTCCACGTTTAATTTAGTTTTTTGGTTATTCCTCGGGAACCTGACATGCATACTTTCTCCCATAGCTTTTTCTTTAGATTTATGTCTGAATACTCTTTCAGATCCTTTAAGTAAAGTGCAGGTCTTTTTTCTACACTAATAATGAACTCCTCTGTATCCTCCGTAATAGTTCCCGCAAAGCCCGCCATGGTGACAAGAGACGTGAAGCCGCTCCAAATGCTTAAGCTAGACTGACAGTCGCGGATCGACTGTTTAGTTGATGGTATGTGCACATCAATACAATGCAATACAAATTGAGCATTTGATCGATAGTTGTCCAACTTTTTAATCAAAAGCAGATCGATACAGCTTTTTGACTTTTTTGTTGTGCAACTATCGAGTTGACAGTATGTGCGCTTCAATATATTGCTATATACATACGATACACAACAAAATTTTTGTTCAACTCAAAGTTGTATATATGCGCTAGCCCTAAGAGTGACTGTGCGGAGCGCTAGCATAAGAAAGTTGGAACATTTATTTACAAAGCTGGCACTTTTCGCACCCGGATTGTAGGTCCCGAGCGCAGCCCTTTGTACTGTACTCTGTGTTGCAAAGTGACATAATGATCGTGACCTTTGTTCTGTGTCACTCTGCATATAGGTTTTTTCTATAATTCTGATGAAGATGATATGATTTTGTATTGACACCGTAACAATATAATATTTTGTTAATATTGTTACATAATAATTTAACGCTGTGAACGTTTTTTTTTCGCCAGTTTTTCTCCACAGCTAAAATACTGGTGGTAGGGGAAAAATATGAACGATTCAAGAAAGTTGTATTGTGCTTCCATTTTTTTGTGTTTGTGGCTTTCTCTGTTTCACACAGTAATTTCGCCAATGTCCCGTAGTGAGTGACGGAAAAACTGCTCCGTAGAAATAGATTATGAATAAAGATATTTTGAATTTTATATATTACTAGCTGACCCAGCGAACTTCGTACCGCTCTAAAAAAATAGGGGTTGTCCAGTGGACAAAATTTTGAATCTAAACCATTCTCAGATCCCCTTGAACACACACAAAAAATTTCATCAAAATCGGTCCAGTCGTTTAAGAGGAGTTCAGTGACATACACACTCACAGAAGAATTATATATATAAAGATTTGTCGTATATATAGGTTTCGATTGCGTGGCTACCGCGGGCGAGGAAGCGCGTCGTCCCCAGAAGACCATACCCTTCGCGGTGGTCGCTTCTTTACTGGTGGTCTTTCTGGCGTATTGTGGAGTATCCTGTGTGCTTACACTCATGGTGCCTTATTACATGCAGGTAATTCCAGAACAATAAGGATGTAGCCTAGAAATATAGTTATAGCAGTAACTGGCTCAAAAATAGATGATTTCATATATTATGTCTTCATTTCTATTGTGTACGATTTCACTGTCATATTTAATGTCTTAATATTCCGTGAGGTGTATGTCAATACTATAGAGAGAGAAAGGGGTTCGATGGCGCGGGTGGTTAGCGCGTTCGGCTGCGATCGTTGAAGTTAAGCAACTTTCGCAGTGGTCGGTCATTGGATGGGTGACCAAAAATCTTCTATCTCGAGTTCCTCCGTGCTTCGGAAGGCACGTTAAGCCGTTGGTCCCGGCTGCATCTGCAACGGTTAGCACCCGCCAATCCGCAATGGGTCCGCGTGGTGGGTCAGGACCCAATCTCCCTCTTCCATCCATAGGGAAGGCCTATGCCCCAGCAGTGGGGACATTAATGGGCTGATGATGTATGTCAATAAGGTATATTGTTATTAATTAATAAACTAGTTGTCTATGCAGTGTAAACGAAAGAACGTTTTAAACAGCCACAACAATTTTTCTACAAGTTTTGTTTAAAACTAGTATATGGCTTGTTTTTTAGTCGAAACGAGGGGTCACTTTCACTATTTACTGTCATTATATGATGTTACTGTAAAGCAGTCTTAACGTTAATTTATTTCTTCTAATATAATAGATTATTTAACAAATTTTAGAAAACTGTTTCACGTCATTAACTAATGTTTATAGAGTCCAGTGGAGCTCGATGGCGCAAGTGATTAGCGCGTTCGGCTGCGATCGTTGAACTTAAGCAACTTTCGCAGTGGTCGGTCATTGGATGGGTGACCAAAAATTACTACCTCGAGCTCCTCCGTGCTTCGGAAGGCACGTTAAGCCGTTGGTCCCGGCTGCATCTGCAGTCGTTAGCACCCACCAATCCGCACTGGGCCCGCGTGGTGGGTCATGGCCCAATCTCCCTATTCCATCCATAGGGAAGGCCTGTGCCCCAGCAGTGGGGACATTAATAGGCTGATGATGATGATGATGATGATGATAGAGTCCATAAAAAGTGTATAATTTAAATTCCTTTGTGTAATTTAGTAAAAAAAAATCAATTTTCAAGTCGCAGCCAATACTTTGCTCTGAATATTATGGCATGCACTGGTCAGTTTGACTTCACACGACTGTCATTAAAACGTCAAACGATCCAATTTAATGTCACTTTGTTTGTAAATTTACTAGCGTGTGACGTCATTTTAGTGTTTGTCAATCCCAGGCGTTTTCGGTCACGTGACCATAGAACAAAAAGTCATTTCTAATCAATGATATTTAAGAGAAGTTTATTATCTATTTGTTCTTTCAGAATAGTTAAATCGCTGCTAATATTCATATTAAATACAGATGCCAACAATAGGGTATTTGACAGGTTTTAGAAAACGATCTCACGTTATTGACTAATGTTTATGGAGGACGTAAAAAGTGGATATTCATCATTCTGTTGTGTATTACAGTAAAAATAACCAAACCAAAGACTCCATTTTCAAGTTGCCGCGAAAACGTTTCTCCGGACAATATGGCGTCTTACTAGTGTGTGACGTCACACGACTGTTATTAAAACGCCAAACGATACAATGTAATGTCACTTTTACCGGAAGTTTATTTGCGTGTGACGTCATTTTAGGCTCCGCCAATCCCAAGCGTTTTGGGTCACGTGACAATAGATAAGAAAACTATTAACTTTACCGTGAGATTTTAGTAAAAGTATGAATATTTTTTTTGTAAAAATAGTAAAAACCCCCTGCCAATATTCATTCTGAACACAGATGATAACAATTGGCACTTTATTTTTAATACTGTCAAATACCCTATTGGTACTTTAGTTTTCATACTCTCTTATAGTCTATTGTCCTGTTGTAGGATGAAAAAGCACCTTTCCCCTTTGTATACGACCAACTGGGTTGGCCGTGGGCTAAATATGCCGTCAGCGTGGGGGCGATCTGTGCACTATGCTCAAGGTAATATTTACACATAATTAAATAAATAAATATTTCCAACACACATTAATTAGCCTAGCCTCAAAGTAAGCACTGTAAGCCTTGTGTTATTCATTTATTCATTTATTCATTAAATACATGGACTTGTTGGCTTACAGAATGTCCAAGACGCCAACAAGTGTAATTGTCAAACACAGAGTATTTAGTATAATATAATCCCAAATGTCAATATTAACTTAATATAGAATTAGAATTATAATCAAAAATAATAAAGTCCATATAAAATTTAGAAGTTGCAAAAATGTCAAACATATAAAATAAAAAAGAAATTAAAAAATAAAACAACAAAAGTACAAAATTAGAATTTAGAAACATAAATAATAAATTCTTTGATTTACTTCACATAAGCAGGTCATTTACAAATTTATGAGCATTATTATAAATGTCAGGTAGACGGTCAGCAAATAAGTCAATTTCGTAGTGCCGAGCAAGCATGTCCCCGATCAGAACTAAGGCGCGTATAGTGGGCGCGTTGGTACCCTGCCTAGTGCGAGCAATGGGTCGGTACAAAAGCGTCTGGGGACTATTAGCCCGAACTTACCAACGATTGATCGATCATCAATTTTATTGTGTTATGGGAGAGTAATGGATAGAATACATAAACTATACATATATAAGTATATTTTTATAGAAATATATTGTTACGTGTCGGGATGGGGTTCGAAATTATATGCCAGTTCACGCTTGACAGTTATTTATTCACCACACAGTACACACAATTAACACACAGTGTTCATTACAAAACACTCACTAAACACTGTATTTCACTATACAAGTCTCTAAACTATTGCACTTGAACACTTTTGTTGCACTTTGATCGCCTTTGGATTCACTCCGAAATCGCTGTTGAAACTTAAATGTCTCTGCGCGGCTCCAATCGCGCTTATATACGCCGATCGACGCATTCTAGAAAGTACCTGTGAAATTGAGAGTTAGCTAGCACCCGCGAGTACGAAGTACCTACTTATACCTACGCAGGTAACGCGCATAACTTGTAAACAAGTGCAGATGTCGTTGTACTTTCTCCCTTACGCCGCACTGCATAAGGCTCATTTTAGAATGAGCCGCATTACTCGACTTCTATCGCGACCCGCGGTGATCTGGCAAATTCGATCTCTAGCACTTTCGCGGTTACGTTTCGAGAGCATGTGACAATATATTAAAATAAATTGGTAATATTCCATACTAGAGGCCCGCCTTCGCTTCGCTTCGGTGTAGAGGTGAAGTGTAGACCACAGTTTTTGTTCTCAGGCTTGTATTATAGACAATGAAATTAATCTATGATTCTTCTTATACCTGCATGCAAAATCTCAGCCCGATCGGTTTAAAATTGACAAAGTTTCATACAAACTTTCATTCCCTATTTTATCCCCTTGGGGGTAGAATTGATCAAAATCCTTTCTTAGCGGATGCCTACGTCATAATATCTACCTGCATGCCAAATTTCAGCCCGATCGTTCCAGTGGTTTGGGCTGTGCGTTGATAGATAATGCGATAGGTTGGTTATTACAAACGAGTAGACGAATGTAAGCCCAAGACGAAATCGAGGGTGATTAGATGATATTTAGGCAACATCTTATTATGTGTTACCCGTTGCGACATCTATATATATAAAACTCAAAGGTGACTGACTGACATAGTGATCTATCAACGCACAGCCCGAACCACTGGACGGATCGGGCTGAAAGGACATGGTAAAGTTTTGTATGAGCGACTGCCCTGGTAATGTATAAATACTGTACTTAGTAATATTTAATGGTAAATGGCTGTATATTTATAATTTCTATGAAAAAAGGCTCAGGAACTTTTGATAAAGTCACAATCTTGAAAAATATGATACCTCCTACTATGTCATTACCTTACAACAGTTGATAAAAGATGTTGTAAATTATTTACAGAGTCATCAATTTCGCATTTTCTTAGAATCTTTCTTCCTATTTCTCTGATTAACTCTCCACAAAAATTGTTTTTAAAGCAAATATAAACACAAGTATTTTGTTATCGTCGGCCTGACAGGAAATCTGTGAAGTTTTATTTTGTTCATTTGCAAAAATTAAAGGATTAATTATCATACAGCTTGAGACAAGCTCAAGCCTTATCAGAAAAATAAAATGTATTTTAGGCCTTCAGTGTTTTTTTTTTTGATAAAAAATAGGGCCAAATATGTCGTAGTTTAAAGGAGTTTAGAAATAATATTGTTTATTTCGATATACTTACACAAATATTTTTGTGTAGATTTATTGTTCATTTATTTTGTAAAACGGAACATTTTGCTTTTTAAACAGACATGAAGTCAATTTCTATACTTTTAAATATTTGATTATTTCACGAAAGTTGTATGAGAATAATAAATACGTAATAATTAATAAAAAAATATTGTAAAGTTACTGGCTAGTGCGAAATATTTATACACGTTAAGGGCAGTTTCTTGGCCATGTCCTTTGGCATGCAGGTAGATGTTGTGACGAAGGCATCCGCTAAGAAAGCATTTTGATCAATTCTACCCCCAAGGGGATAAAATAGGGAATGAAAGTTTGTATGAAACTTTGTCAATTTTAAATCGATCGGGCTGAGACTTTGCATGCAGGTATAAGAATAAACATAGATAAATGTCATTGTGTATAATACAAGCCTGAGAACAAAAACTGTAGTCTACACTTCAGCTCTACACCGAAGAGAAGCGAGGGCGGGCCGCTAGTACTGTTATATATTGCGGAATACATCCTTTATCTTATGTTATCTTTATGTTTACATACGTACAGTTTGCTGGGCGCTGTGTTTCCTTTACCCCGTATAATATACGCGATGGCGTCGGACGGGCTATTGTTCCGGTTTCTGGGACAAGTCAGCGAGCGGTTCCAAACTCCACTGTATGGAACCGTATTGGCTGGACTATTCACTGGTGAGTTTATCAAATAATACATAAATAAATACAGGAAAACCCGTTTAAGACGATTTCACAGGGACTCAACTAAAAACGCGTCTTAAGCGGGAAAGTGATATTACATACATATTTAAGAATTATGTATGTAATAAAAATGTAGTGTATTATTATTTATTATTACGTTATTTAAATTACTCACTTATTTTAGTTTGTAAAAAGATTTTAAGGCGTTAAGAAATACATCGCATTTTGTATACTCCTGGTGTTGCAAGTGTCCATGGGCGACGGTGATCACTTACCATCAGGTGAGCCATCATCTGCTCGTATGCCTCCTATAACATAAAAAAAAACAATATTTTCAACATAATCAAACTTTAACAGTGCGTCTTCGCTTTGATTCAAAGAAGACAAAATCGGAGTTGCCAGATCTTCTGCTGAATCATTATCAGTTAGGGCATCTACTTATGTGTTATTCACATTCCCATTGAATTTTATGCTGCTGCAAGAGGTAATAAATATGTGTGGTACGAGATGGCGATTTAGGCGTATTAAACGGGATGACGAATCGTATTAAGCGTTAACAAATAATAAATATAAATAAATAAATAAATATTTCCAACACTCACACCAATTAGCCTAGTAAGCACTATAAGGCTTGTGTTATGGGATGCTAGGCTAACGGATAGAATACATAAACTGTACATATATAAGTATATTTTTATAGAAAATACATATTAAACATCCATGACTGGAGTTCAAATGCTTGTATTCATCACACAAACATCTGCCCCCACCGGGACTCGAACCCGGGACCTCTCGAGTCGGCAACACCACGAAACCCGGCGTACAAACCACTCGACCACGGAGGTCGTCAAATGCATGGAAACATGTCTCAAGTTGCAGGGACTGACGCAAAATGGCGTAATATGCGAGTAATCGTATTAAGCGTGATCGTATTAAACGGGTTCTATTTTAGTTTTACATTTTCACTCAGGTCCTAAAGTTCTCGATAGTGGCAATTATTAGCGCGTTCAGTCTGCAGTCAGGTCCCCTTAGCAAGAGCACCACAATTTAAAATGTATCGAAGAAAGAAAGAAAAACATTTTATTGGCCTTCACAGCATGAATAAGGAAAAAAAAATGGTTATGACAATAAAAATAGACATTTTTTTTCCATCACACACCATTTAGCCTAGCCCCAAAGTAAGCACTGTAAGGCTTGTGTTATGGGAAACTAGGGTAACTAACGGATAGAATATACAGTACATATATAAGTATATTTATATAGAAATACCTATTAAACATCCATGACTGGAGTACAAATGCTCGTATTCATCACACATCATTCATTCAAACTCGGGACCTCTCGAGTTGGCGACACCATTAAACCTGGCGTACAAACCACTCGACCACGGAGGTCTTCAATAAAAAACATACAAACTAATTACTAGGTGCGTGCGCTGTAAGGCTAATGGGACGCTGACTCAGTTATGATCTGTGGTTAACGCTTTCGAAATACCACAGTAGCGTTGTTTTTCAGCCAGCGCCTTATGGCAAAGGTGATTGCGAATGTCAGAATAAAGCGAAACAGAAAACATAGGTAATAGGGTATTTGACAAGTTTTAGAAAACGATCTCACGTTATTGGCTAATGTTTATGGAGTTAAGTGGATATTCATCATTCTGTTGTGTATTTCAGTAAAAATAACCAAATCAAAAACTCCATTTTCAAGTTGCCGCTAAAACGTTTCTCTGGACAATATGGCGTCTTACTAGTGTGTGACGTCACACGACTGTTATCAAAACGTCAAACGATACAATTATGTAATGTCGTTTTAACAGGAAGTTTACTTGCGTGTGACTTCATTTTAGGCTCCGCCAATACCAAGCGTTTTGGGTCACGTGACAATAGATAAGAAAACTATTTATATCTTTTTCGTGGGGTTTTAGTAACATTATGAATATTGGTTTTTACGGGTTAATGCACGAAACTTTATTTATTTATTGACGTTTCTTGGAAGTGGATGTTTCGAAGGTAGCTCGACAAATTAAATAAAAGTTTGATTCTGACGACGTGGCCTGTAAAGGCTACGAAACGTCAATAAATAAATAAAGTTTCGTGCATTAACAATAAGTGATGTACGTGAAAACCTAAGAAACAAATATTATGAATATTTTTTTTGTAAAAATAGTAAAAACCCCATCAATGTCTCTGGTTTTCAGGTACACTGGCGATGGTGTTTGAACTGGAACAACTGATTCACATGATGTCTATAGGCACTCTACTAGCTTACTCTATGGTCGCCTCCTGTGTGCTACTGTTAAGGTAATGATGGTTCATAAGTTACACTATGTTACCGTTGAACAGATCCTTGTCTGGCCAGTGTATCATTTAAATATAAATAACAATTTTTATTTGAAGAAAATTTTACTAGAAACAATTCCACGAGGACCAGGCAGTAGACGGGACTTGAACCTGTACCCTTCGATAACGTCAGCTGCCTGGTTCGCGTGGAATTTTTGTATTAAAAAATTCTTTAGATTGAAACAGTTAAATGCTTGAAAAATACTGTAATTGATATTTCTTCTTTTAAATGTTATATACTTTCAAAGGTATTCATTTGACTTTCTACGTTACCTACAATGCGAAGAGATGGCCTAATAAATGCTAGGGATAGTGAAGGGTGCGGGTTCGAGTCCCGTCTGCTGCCTGGTCCGTGTGGAATTTTTTCTAGTAAAATTAACTTAATAGTTTTTCAACAATTTGCTCAAAAATGCATTTACGGAAGTTGTATATATTGTTTCGAAAGTTCAAATTTACGGTCCATACAACGGAGCGTGCGGTAAATCGTTTTACCGCACGCTGCCATGGTATTTTCTTTTCTTATTACGTGTAGTTTAATTCCGGTTTTTTTTTCGGTCGAACCACCTCCGACATTATGTTTAAAATACTATGTCCCGTCTGATAGCAAGCTGCTGTCATAATCCCCCCACGACAACGGCTAACTAGACCCGAGGTCCGAGTCTCAGAGACGCCCTCTAGTTGAGCCGACCCCCTCAGGTTCGAGTGGTCTGGAGGCTCCAGACGAGGAGGAGACTCCCCCCGCAGGGAGACGCCATCTCCCTGGAATACCTCTAGAGGCACTCGCCAATTCTCGGCTTGAGGTCCCCTTAGGATCTCGCCGTCCCCAAACCCGGTGACGCTGTAAAGGTCATCTGCGACCAACAGCATACACACTTAGAAAAAGAAAAAAAAAATGCTGTCATAATCTTACACCAGCAAAACGCACTTGGTAAAAAAGGTGGTTTCTTTGCATAATATATTTTTTGTAGACCTACAATGTGTTAATATAATTTTTGATATATTGTTTTAAACTTTCATGGTCACTAACATTATAGCTATTAACGGGATTGTTACCATGTACCTTGTTTTTTATGAGTCTTCGATATTTCGGCACTGTTGCAAGCGCCATGATCACGGAGTAACTGGCGCTTTTCATGGCGCTTGCAACAGTGCCGAAATATCGAAGACTCGTAAAGAACAAGGTTCATCATCAGCCTATTAATGTCCCCACTGCTTGGGCACAGGCTTTCCCTATGGATGGAATAGGGAGATTGGGCCATGACCCACCACGCGGGCCCAGTGCGGATTGGTGGGTGCTAACGACTGCGGATGCAGCCGGGACCAACGGCTTAACGTGCCTTCCGAAGCACGGAGGAGCTCGAGATAGTAATTTTTGGTCACCCATCCAATGACCGACCACTGCGAAAGTTGCTTTACTTCAACGATCGCAGCCGAACGCGCTAACCACTTGCGCCATCGAGCTCCTCATAAATTAACTACCTACGATTGTACAAAAAAACAAGGTACATGGTAACAATCCCGTTAATAGCTACAATAGGGATGATGACTAATTTTTTTTCTTTTATCAGGTAGATTATCAAAAAGTATTGGACACGTATTTTTTCTTTTTTCACATAATATAAACATTGCAGAGATATATTGATTTGAAAAGTAGCATGACGTCACGTTTGAGTACATTTATAAGGGAAAATTCACTCAAAAGTGACGTCACGAGCCCCTACTCCCAAACTTTGAAGCGCTATAACTTTGTCATTTTTTGGTTGATTGCCCAAAGAAAAAATACGTGTCCATTATTTTTTGATCATCTAACTGACGGACTAAATAGAATTTCGTTTACTTTACCCCGTCATCACCCCTATTATTATTTCGTTTAGATACGAGCGCGGGCATTCGACCCATAAGCCAGTGGAGCCCCTGAACTTATCCGTTCGTGGCGTTTTGAGGCAACTTGTGAATGCTGACAAATTGACTGCACCCTCCAGGCTTAGCTCCGCGCTAGTCACTGCGCTAGTCACCTTGTACGGTGAGTACGAACTTTTTTTTTTTTGGTACACTGGGGAAATGCCTTAAATTGCATAACCACATGGTGGTTATGTGGGGCTCTCCTCCCCAGAAGGGGGAGGCCTACCCACTAAACCCCAGCGATGGCCGCCATCAGGCATTGTACGGGGCCTCAGGATCGAGTATCGCATCTGAGGACCCGCAGCCTTTGTTCCCCTGCTTCCTCCAGGAGAGCCCTTCTCGGGGGAGTGTTCGCAACCTCCTCCATCCACCCTCCTACGACGACACCCCCCCGGCCATGCGGGGGTGTCGTCCCTCCCAGGGGGCCAATCGCCTAACGGAAATGCTTTGGAAAACGCTAACGCTTACGATTTTATTTTGTTATTTCTAGCCGCCTGAGGTATTCAAATGCCTCGCGCTCTTTCTTTTTCTTTTGCATTGGTAATAACAATATTAAAAAAAAATTGCTTGAGGTATTCGAAAACCTCAGGCGGCTAGAAATAACAATATAAAATCGTAAGCGTTAGCGTTTCCCAAAGCATTTCCGTTAGGCGATTGTCCCCCAGGTCGCTTTCAGGAGCACAAGCTCCGTCGTGCTCACGGTGAGTACGACCCTATATATAACAAACCCCTCGTTTACACCAATGTATAAAACATGTATGTATTTAATAAGTTTTATCATCATCATCAGCAATAGCCTATCTTAGTCCACTGCTGGACATAGGCCTCTCCAATGAGGGCTACCGTTTTCTGTCTCACCAGATGGCGCTACTGTTGAGTGAGGTCCTGAATTGTAATTTTTAAAGTTTATTAATACGCCCGTGAAATCAAAGTTTATACAATGTTTCTTGTTCACACTCATATACATGTATAAAATATGGGTGCGTTAGTACTTAAGTACGCGCGTGAGAAGTTGTACTTCTTTTTGGAATTATTAAAAAATAGTTTTTAATTGCATGCAGATAATTAATTACAATAAGATAATAAAAGGATTGGAAAAGGATAGTCAACGCAGTCAATAAAGTTCAGTTTTAATTTGGAAAATTTAATAAATAATCAAAATATTCAATTTAAATCACTACTGAATAAAATTTATTAGCACATATAAATTTCGCATTTGCATTATAACACGTGTTAAGAATATAGAAACTAGAAACATGTGGATAAATATTATAAATATGAAACAGTGATCAGAGGCGACGAGCGTCCCAACATGTGCGACTAAGAGATCCTATTACTATTTTGTTGGAAGCTTTTTTGAAGTTATACTTCTTTAGGCGCGTTATGAAAAAATGATGAGAGTGAAATTTTAAGATGCGCGCGCATCATGTAACACAAAATTTTAACATAATTAAGTTGGTCGCTAAAGCGACCATCTTCATGCGTTACTTTTGTGTTTACCGCACATTAAGAAAATCTATCAACAAAATAGAAATAGAATCTCTATTTAGTGGGTGCTAACGACTGCATTGTGAAGGCCTATCAAAAGTATTTATTAATCTGGAACAACGGAACCAAAGCGCAATTCAGGAGACTACAGCGCCATCTCTTGACCATTGGTGTAGTAGAACCAAAAACCACATCTTTATTTTTTGTAATAAAGTAACAAAAAGTATTTATTAATCTGGAACAACGGAACCAAAGCGTGATTCAGGAGACTACAGCGCCATCTCTTGACCATTGGTGTAGTAGAACCAAAAACCACATCTTTATTTTTTGTAATAAAGTAACAGTTATAGGTATTCATATTTATAATATTTATCCACATGTTTCTAGTTTGTATATTCGGAATACGTGTTTGAGTTTCATACAAGTGCAAATCACATATGTTCTAATAAATTATATTCAGTAGCGATTTTAATTGAATATTTTGATTATTTATTTATTTTTTCAAATTAAAACTGAACTTTATTGACTTCGTCCTTTTCCAGACTTTTTATTAATTTATTGTAATTAATTATTTGCATGCAATTAAAAACTAATTTTAAACGATGCCAAAGAAGGATAACTTCTCACGCGCCTACATAAGTACACGCATCCATTTTTTTCGAGACTTACGAGTAATGTGCGGTTTAGCGGCCGACTTCATGGTGTTACTTTTCTGTTACAGTGTTGCGCGCGCATCTTAAAATTTCACTCTCATCATTTTTTCATAACGCGCCCGCGGCTAACTTCATTATGTTACTTTTGTGTTACAGTGATGCGCGCGCATCTTAAAATTTCACTCTCATAATTTTTTCATAACGCGGCTAAAGAAGTATAACTTCAAAAAAATTGTATCAAACTGGTTGGAGAAACAATATGTAAAGTAAATGAGTGATTTAATACTTGTCAAGATACTAGTTGTCTATGCAGTGTAAACGAAAAAATGTTTTAAATAGCCACAGCAAGTATTGTGCAAAACTAGTAGAATACTTGTTCTGGCTGATTTGTTCCTTGGTGTAAAGGAGGGGGTATTTGTCGTTATTTACTAACGTTTATGAAGTCCATAAATAGGATAGAAATTTTTTATTCAATAAAAAAAGCTAAATTCAACTTTCAAGTGGCCGTGAAAGCGTTTCTCTGGATGTCATGGCGTTTCACTAGTATGTGACGTACACGACTGACATTAAAACGTCAAACGATACAATGTAATGCCACTTTGACTGGAAGTTTACTAGCGTGTGACGTCATTTTAATCTTTGCCAATATCAGGCGTTTCCGGTCACGTAATTTTACAGAAAAGTTATTAATTAATTGTTTTTACAGAATAGTTAAATCGTTGCTAATATTCATATTAAATACAGATGCCAACAATAGGGATGATGAATATTTTTTTTTCTTCGTTTATCAGGTAGATTATTAAAAAGTATTGGACACGTATTTTTTGTTTTTTCACATAATATATACATTGCAGAGATATATTGATTTGAAAAGTCGCATGACGTCACGTTTGAGTACACTTATAAGTGAAAATTCACTCAAAAGTGACGTCACGAGCCCCTACTCCCAAACTTTGACGCGCTATAACTTTGCCATTTTTTGGTTGATTGCCCAAAGAAAAAATACGTGTCCATTATTTTTTGATCATCTAACTGACGGACTAAATTGAATTTCGTTTAATGTACCCCGTCATCACCCCTATTGGTACATTATTTTTCATACTGTCAAATAATCTATTATATGCATTGAGTCAATTTTGCTGTACGTAAAAATTACATTTTAAACTTTTTCCCTACATTTAATTTTTATAAGTATTTAGGTTTTTTTTAAGATATACCCTTACAGGTGAGTACGACTCTATTAAAACGGCACTGAGTTCAAGTTTCTTTACACGCCGTTAGGTTGAAACTTTAAGCCTATTAAGTTGTTTTTAAAGTGCGTAGGAGAATAGCATGTTTGAATAACTGGCAGTTAAATATTTGTTTCGTATACAAAGTCAATTTAAACAGTGTTTTGTTATAACAGTTGTTACAACTATCGTTCAATATGCTCATAAATTAAATTAAACCATGCTTTTTTACTTCCTTATTATATTATTTTCAATATTTCTTGCGTAGCTAAGTTTTTTTTTGTTTTCTATTGTTTGTGAAATTGTAGCTATAGTAAATTAGGGTTTTAGTGTCGTTGCACACGGGCCACCGACCACAAACACAAAACGCCCTCACAATATTTCTTGTAGTTTTCATACATTTTATATGGACTCGCCACACACGGTACGCCGGTGGCCGCCACACGCTACAAATCGTTCGCTCGCTTCTTGTGGCCCGCACCGGCTACTTTCATCATCAGCCGAAAGACGTCCACTGTTGGACATAGGCCTCCCCCATGGATTTCCACAGCGATCGGTCCCATGCTGCCCGCATCCAGCGGCTTCCCGCGACCTTTACCAGATCGTCGGTCCACCTTGTGGGGGGCCTGCCAACACTGCGTTTCCCGGTACGCGGTCGCCACTCGAGGACCTTTCCGCCCCAGCGGCCATCGGTCCTGCGAGCAATGTGCCCTGCCCATTGCCACTTAAGGTTTGCAATTCTGTGGGCTATGTCGGTGACTTTAGTTCTCTTGCGTATCTCCTCATTTCTGATTCGATCACGCAGAGAAACTCCGAGCATAGCCCTCTCCATTGCCCTTTGGGTGACTTTGAGCCTTCTTACAAGACCCATTGTAAGCGGCCACGTCTCGGTTCCGTATGTCATTACTGGCAACACGCACGAATTGAAGACTTTCGTCTTGAGGCACTGCGGTAGATGTTCCGAGAAGATGCTACGTAGCTTCCCGAACGCTGCCCAGCCGAGTTGGATTCGTCGATTAACCTCTTTCTGGAAGTTGGACTTACCCAGTTGGACTATTTGTCCCAGGCATACGTACTGGTCAACAGCTTCCAGTGTAGAGCTCCCAACAGTCACTGGAGTGGGTACGACATGGGAATTCGACATGATTTTCGTCTTGTCCATGTTCATTTTGAGACCCACTTGTTGGGACACCCTACTGAGGTCGCCGAGCATTGTGCCAAGGTCATCCATGGTCTCAGCCATGACTACGATATCATCTGCAAATCGAAGGTGCGTCATGTACTCGCCGTTTATGTTGATGCCAAGTCCGCTCCAGTCCAAAAGTTTGAAAACGTCTTCCAGCGCAGCTGTAAACAGTTTCGGTGATATAACGTCACCCTGTCTTACACCACGCTGTAGCTGGATTGGCTTCGTGCTTTGGTCCCGGAGTCGAACTGACATAGTGGCGTTTTCATACAACGACTGCAACACTTCGATGTATCGATAGTCTATTTGGCACCTTTGGAGTGACCGAAGCACGGCCCATGTCTCGATCGAATCGAAGGCTTTCTCGTAGTCCACAAACGCCAAGCATAATGGCAGGTTATACTCTTCGGTCTTCTGTATAACCTGCCGCAGCGTATGGATGTGGTCTACGGTACTAAACCCTTTTCGGAATCCGGCTTGTTCGGGAGGCTGGAAGTCGTCAAACCTGCGCGCGAGACGATTCGTGAGGACTCTCGAAAACAGCTTGTATACATGACTCAGGAGCGTGATGGGTCTGTAATTCTTCAATTGGGCCCTGTCGCCCTTCTTGAAGAAAAGCGCCACCACTCCCCTATGCCATGCGCTAGGCGTTCTGCCCTCGAGTATGACAGAGTTAAATAGCTTCTGAAGAGATTTCAAGACTGGTCGTCCACCTGCTTTCAGAAGCTCGGCTGTAACTCCGTCATCACCCGGCGCCTTATTGTTTTTGAGCTGTTTCAGAGCTACACTAATCTCGTACAGGCTGACGTCCGGGATATCTTCGGTGTAGTGTCGGGTTAATTTGGCTCTTGGGTCGGTCGCCTTTGTGACAGGTACTCGTGATGTCGCGTATAGCTGTCCGTAGAAGCTTTCGATCTCAGCCATAAGCTCAGGCTGCGACGAAATGATTCTGCCGTCCTCTGTCTTCAGCTTCGTCAGCAAACTCTGTCCAAGAGACAGATTTCTTGCGAACACTTTCGAGCCTTTGTTCCGCTCGATGGCCTCTTTAATACGATCAGTATTAAAGCGGCGTATATCGCGAGTTAGAGACTTCGAAATCTGCCTATTGAGCTGCCGACGTGCATCTTCAGAGGACTGCAGACCCATCTCACGCCTTTTCTCCATGAGCTTGAGAGTCGGCTCCGAGATCTTGCTACGTTTTTTGGTACGGATGGGCTTGCAGAACTTCGGGCCCACCGTAAGGACAGCTTCAACAAACCTGTCATTATAATTGTCCACGTCTACGCAGCTCTCTAGGCAATCGAAGCGATTTTGCAGTTCGAGTTGAAAGCGCTCGGGGTTTTGGATCTGGATGGCTTCAGGACGGAGCGTGGACTTCATCAGTCGATTCCTTTCGGCTTTGACATTTAGATTCAATGTGCCTCTTACCATTCGGTGATCGCTTCCCGTATTGAACGAATTGATCACTGAGACATCATTGAATATCCGAGTCTTAGTCGACATGATGAAGTCAATCTCATTTTTTGTCACGCCATCCGGACTTTTCCAGGTCCATTTTCGATGCAGCCGTTTTCTGAAGAAGGAGTTCATCATAAAGAGTCCCTCCTTCTCCATGTAATCGGCTAGCATTTGACCTCGGAAGTTCCGGATTCCAACTCCAAATTGCCCCACTTTCAACTCATCATCGCCACGTTTGCCCAGCCTTGCGTTGAAGTCCCCCATGACAACGGTGTAATGGGTCCTGGAAGCATGCATTGCCCGAGAAATATCCTCATACATGACTTCCACTTCCTCGTCGGGGTGCGTCGAGGTCGGAGCGTATACCTGTATGACCTTCAACGAATACCGTTTGGTGATTCTGAGTATAAGGTACGCCACCCTATTCGACACACTACCGATCTGTACAACATTGTTCACGAGAGACTTGTGGACAACAAACCCGACACCACCCTGGGACAGATCTTCGCCCTCCCGGAAATAGAGCAGGTTGCCGGATTTAAGGACCATCGTGTCCTCGCCCTCTCTTCGGACTTCAGATAGTCCTACAATACTCCAGCGAATCCTGCTCAATTCTTCCTCCAGTTCCAGCAGCTTCTCCTCGGTCCGTAGTGTGCGTGCGTTGTACGTTGCCAGGGCCAAGGTCGTTTGACGGGGGATTTTTGCCGCCCGGGGATTCTTCGCACCCCTGGTCCCGGCGCCGAGTCGGCGTCCGTCAGCGCCGCCACGGACTCCAGCACCGCCGGGAACTTGGGGCCTCTTCTTATGTACTATCATTTTAGGGGGGGTTTTGGGCCGTCTCCCACCACGCTGGCCCAGTGCGGGTTGGTGGGGAACGCCAGAGCCTCGTCCGTTGGTCGGCAAGGTACACCGCGGGCAGGTGAGGTTGGCTTGGGTGCCGTTGGGTGTTAGGCGGCACCCCTTATACCCCCTTATACCCCGGCTACTTAATGCGTCGATACAAAACGCCGCCACACGTCACTCGCGCGATTTCCCACCTCTCTCTCCCTTACCTTAGTCGGCCGCTGTCGCGCGCTTCAGCCACTTTAGTAGCCGCTTCTAGCTTCTCGTGGCGGCGTTTGTGGCTGGGGCGTGTGGCCCGTGTGCGGCGACACTTAATGTTACCAATGTAGTTGCTCAGTTAGAGCAGCTATTTAGCGATGTGTTGGCTGTGCTGGTCAACTCATTTTGGTAATGAGGAAACAAACAGCGACAGAGTGAGATTGATCAATGCTATTACCAATCCATATATTTCGTAAAGGCGATGGCTGATAAACAGTTGTTTGTCCAGCCCCCCCCCCCCCCCCGGCTTGAAGACCGCGATATGATATGTAACGCGTTTTTGTCACGCTCAAGTGTCAAATTACTATGGAGTTTGACAGTTAGACGCGATATATAACGTGATATAATGTAAATTGACTACAATTCTCATGCTACGGAGGCTGTAATGGGCAAATTTTACGTCGAACCTTGGACCTTTGCTTTCTTAAACATACACATATTTTATGGCAGTATTTTTATTGTAAATCTTTTTTGTTTCTTTCTTTTGAATTTTATGTATGTTGTATAAAATAATTAACGTACTATCTATCGAAGCGCGTGAAGCGGGTTCATATGTCATGCCCGTCAACCAGTTGAATTAAAAAAACAAGTGTAGCATTGGAAACCTCACCTTATATTAGTAAAAAAAGAAATAAAACGTACTACAAAAGGAATAAGCCATTTGAACATTATGTTCTAAAATCAAATCAAAAAGCTTGCGCTTCCCAAACTTCCTGTTACACACTTCCGTCCCACTTCACGTAATCACTCCCACAAATTGCACGCAAGCGAAAGGAAAGATATAAATTTTATTGTTTTTAAAGCATGTAACTGCTTGATGTTTAAATCTAAAGAAAATATAACTAGAAAAAAATCCATGCGGACCAGGCAGCAGACGGGACTCGAACCCGCACCCTTCGCAATCCGGGCGAATGCACTGACCAATTATGCTACCGCGGCCCTCACGGACCGCGTGGAATTTCTTCTAGTTATATTTTCTTTAGAAAGGAAAGATGTTACACATCAAAAATACTCGTTTTAAAGGCACGTGTTGGTTTTCTAAACAGGCGTGTGGTGCATGGTGTTGATGGTGATAGTGCAGAGATATGGTGCGTCCATATTGACAGGCGGGGCGGGCGCCAGTGCGGCGATCGCTTCCGCTTCCGCTCTTGTTGTGGGCACTCTCTACGCTATATCTACGCAACCTGTGTCGGATAAGAAGCTAGCGTTCTCGGTGAGTCATCATCATCATCATCATGAGCCTATTAATGTCCCCACTGCTGGGGCACATGCCTTCCCTATGGATGGAATAGGGAGATTATGGAGTGTGGAGTGGAAGTGCTAACGATTGCAGATGCAGCCGGGACCGACGGCTTAACGTGCCTTCCGAAATACGGAGGAGCTCGAGATAGTAAATTTTTGGTCACCCATCCAATGACCGACCACTACGAAAGTTTGCTTAACTTCAGCGATCGCAAGCCGGACGCGCTAACCACCTGCGCCATCGAGCTCCTCATATTATACATTTCACTATACAAGTCTCTAAACATCGCCTTTGGATTCGCTCCGAAATCACTGTTGAAACTCAACTGTCTCTGCGCGGCGCCAATCGAGCTTATATACGCCGATCGACGCATTCTAGAAAATACCTGTTAAATTGAGAATAAGCTAGCACCCGCGAGTACTTATACCTACGCAGCTGACACGCATAACTTGTAAACAAGTGCAGATGTCGTTGCACTTTCTCCCTTACGCAGCACTGCATAAGGATCATTTTAGAATGAGCCGCATTACAATAAAAAACTTACCAAAATCTCACAAACTTTCTGACCACTTTTTTTAAACTCTCATGGTTCTCAGGGCTCAAGCCTCAGCAATGTTTTCAAGCGCTCGGATAGTGGTACGGGTTCGAGTCCCGTCTGCTGCCTGGTCCGCGTGGATTTTTCTAGTAAAAATTTCTTTACATATAAATAATCTTCATATTTCCCCAGGTGCCTTTAGTACCGTGGCTGCCGGGTATCAGCATCCTTATCAACGTATACCTGATGCTCAACCTGGACTATATGACGTGGGTTCGATTCGCTGTCTGGATTGCAGCAGGTAAATATTAAATAAATAATAATAATAATAAATATTTCCAACACTCACACCAGTAGGCATGATGACGGGGTACAGTAAACGAAATTCTATTTAGTCCGTCAGTTAGATGATCAAAAAATAATGGACACGTATTTTTTCTTTGGGCAATCAACCAAAAAATACAAAGTTATAGCGCGTCAAAGTTTGGGAGTAGGGGCTCGTGACGTCACTTTTGAGTGAATTTTCACTTATAAGTGTACTCAAACGTGACGTCATGCGACTTTTCAAATCAATATATCATTGCAATGTTTATATTATGTGAAAAAAGAAAAAATACGTGTCCAGTACTTTTTGATAATGTACCTGATAAACGAAGAAAAACAAATTAGTCATCATCCCTAATAGCCTAGCCCCAAATTAAGCACTGTAAGGCTTGTGTTATGGGATACTAGGGTAACGGATATAATACATATATAAGTATATTTATATAGAAATACATATAAATCATCCATGACTGGAGTACAAATGCTCGTATTCATCACACAAACATCTGCCCCCACCGGGATTCGAACCCGGAACCTCTCGAGTCGGTGACACCATGAAACCCGGCGTACAAACCACTCAGCCACGGAGGTCGTCTTATTTATCATCATCATTATCATCAGCCTATTAATGTCCCCAATGCTGCTTAACGTGCCTTCCGTAGCACGGAGGAACTCGAGATAGAAGATTTTTGGTCACCCATCCAATGACCGACCACTGCGAATGTTGCTTAACTTCAACGATCGCAGCCGAACGCGCTAACCATATGCGCCATTGAGCTCCTCAAATCGGTAGGTAAATATTGAACACATCTGTTCTACTTCGATAATATATAGGTAGTTTAGAAAATGCCATGCAATGTTTAAAAATTTTCTTTGGGTTGCTAGACTTTAATTCGCATACACCTATATAACTTTTGAACCTTTCAGAAATCATAAAAGAAAGTTTTTGATGTGAAACATCTATAACTGGGCCACGACATAAGTTTTATATGATAGTATGTGGCGACGAGCCGATACAAAATGGCGTGTCAAAAATCCAAAATAAAAATCATGAACGTAAACCTCAATTTGATCAATATAATATTAATGATAATTATATTAAATAAACGGTACCCCTAGCACGAACCATTATCGAATTCGAATAGTTTGCAAACCGAAATGTCAATGTCAAATTTTGTATGGCAACTTGAACAGCAGCGGCACAAAGTACGTAACGAGAACTAAAATTCAGTACACATTTGGCAATGACATTTCGGACTCGTAAACTATTCGAATTCGATAATGGTTCGTGCTAGGGCTACAGTCATCTATTTCTCGAAAAAATCTGTTTTTCATTATGCCATATTTATTGCGTCGTAAACTATCATTGTATGCATATTACCTGTAGATATTTTTTTCCAACACACACCAATTAGCCTAGCCCCAAAGTAAGCAATGTAAGGCTTGTGTTATGGGATGCTAGGGTAACGGATAGAATACTTAAACTGTACATTTATAAGTATATATTTATATAGAAAATAAATATTAAACATCCATGACTGGAGTACAAATGCTCGTATTCATCACACAAACATCTGCCCCCACCGGGATTCAAACCCGGGATCTCTCGAGTCGGTGACACCATGAAACCCGGCGTACAAACCACTCGGCCACGGAGGTCGTCATTTTGATGTTTCACATCTGCTATAGTAAATTAGGTTTTTGATTCTCAACCCGATCTCGTTGTTCAAGGTTTAATAATCTACGCCACATATGGAGCTTGGAATAGCTCAGAACGACGTCGAACCCCGGACGGCGTGCCTCTAGCCGAGCTCCACAGTAACAGTCACACTGCTCTATTGAACCACGGGACCAACGGGATCGCGCACGTGATTGGCTGACAGCCGGCCAATCAGAATCCGGTCAGTCCCAGCGGCACTGTTATCTCTTTCATATCCAGCATATAGTAGTTTAAGATAAGTGATAAGTCACAGGTTAAAATTAATAAAATCTATTTGTTTCTTAGGTTTTCACGCACATCACTCATTAAATAAAACTAGTTTTTACGGGTTAATTCACGAAACTTTATTTATTTATTGACGTTTCGTAGCCTTTACAGGTTACGTCGTCAGAATCAAACTTTTATTTAATTGGTCGAGCCACCTTCGAAAGACTTTTTTCGAAGTATTTTATTTAAAATTATTTTTGTATAAAATACTTTATTAAGTAAATTAAATAATAAATTCATACATAGACAATAAAACTTTAAAAATCGAACAATGAAATAACCGAACGCTCAATAAAAGTCTTTCGAAGGTAGCTCGACAAATTAAATAAAAGTTTGATTCTGACGACGTAGCCTGTAAAGGCTACGAAACGTCAATAAATAAATAAAGTTTCGTGCATTAACCCATAAAAACTAGTTTTATTTAATAAAATCTGTCCCGCTTATTTATAAACAAGGAATAAGTTCAGACTAGTTACGCCGTGTTTTGTTCATGCCACTCAAATGCCATTTGTCATTCAATAGACGTAGACAAAACATGGAGTAACTAATCCAATCTTCGTTTATTAATATAAGGGGGTATAAGGTTCTTCAAATTTCTGGAACTGACTTTGAGCTGTAACTTCCTTGATATAAAAGTCATAATCGATTGTGAAGTGGCGCAAAGACATCCCCAGGGAAAAGTTAGCAAAATATGTGAAATGTCTCCAAATTACTTTGAGCTGTATTTAGCTTATAATAAGACTCATAATCGATTGTAAGTTTCACGTAAAAGTAGTTACAGCCCAAGTAAATCCAATTGGTAAAATTTCTTCTAATGAGTTTGTGCTGTAATTACTTTGAAATAAGATTCATAATCGATTGTGAATTGACAACTTAATGTGTCGTTGACCATTTTTTAACTAGAATAAACACGGGATTGCCCTGACTATTGCTATAGTTTATAATTTCATTTTGTAATTTCTGACCGCCACAGATTGTCAAATGCCTCGCGCTCTTTTTGCATTGGTAAATTTTTTTTTGCTTTTTGCTCGCTTTGCTTCGGTGTAGAGTTGTAGTGTAGACTATAGTTTTTGATCAAAGGCTTGTTTGATTATACACAATGACTTTCTTGATATTAATTGTAAACCTTCTATTCCAAGTAAATAATTCGTTGCGTAGTTTAGGATCCGTTGTACCGTATGCAACATTTAAAAAAAATATTATTGTACTGGACAGTGCATTTATCGAGGAAGGCTATAGGCTATATATTACCAGGCTAACAGTAGCAGCGGAGCATCGATAAAAATGTTGCAAAAACGGGTAAATATATTCCATTTGTGAGACTTCTTTGCTTGAGCCGGTTAAAGTTACACAAAAATCATGTATGACGGAATTCCCCTTTAAAAGTTCTGTAAAAAAGTCCACGACAGCCTATGACCATATTTTAAGTTTGACTCACTATAAACCTATTTTTTTAAATTAACGCGGGTGAAACCGCAGGCGATATCTAGTTGTGACATAACTCTAATAGTTAGACATATGGTATCGCGGACTTTTTTGTAGATATAAGTATCCTACATAAAACTTTCGTACATCACTTTGCTCTATTGTCAATGACGACCGCAGCGTACGCGATATAACCACTGGAAAGTCCGTGGCAACCAAAGCGGCCACTCTCAACAGTCCAAGCGGCGCGAAGCGAAGCGAAAAATATCGGCCATTCCGGACTTTTAGTTAGAAATGCCATTTTCTCGCTAAATAATGAAGCTAGGACCAAACAAAAAATACTACCGTAAAGCTGATTAAATAAAGAATTCATTACAGAATATTTGTATAATATTCCATTACAGGCTATTTTTTGGTATTTTTACACACGTTAGGTTAAATTATCGAAGTTTTCATACGGAACCCTAAGTTTTTTGAAAATACACTGTAGCCTATAATAATATATTAATCAGTGATAATGTAGCATTCAAAACGTCTAAAGATTTTTTAAAATCGGTCCAGTACTTTTTGAGCCTATTGAGCCAAACAAATATAAATAAAATTCTAGTGTCACAATGTTAGTTACCATACTCCACCGAAACAGCTTGACCGATTTTTTTTAAACAATATACGCACTTTCAAGGTCTGAGAATCGGCTACTATCTATTTTTCATACCCCTAAGTGATAAGGGTTGTCCACCCTTAACATTTTATTTTTATTTTTTGAACAAAATTTTATTTATTAATAATGTGGCATTAAAAATACATACAACCCAAAATTTCACCTTTCTACCACCAGCCCCTATTTTTATGGCGGTACGAAGTTGGCTAGGTCAGCTAGTATTAGTTTAGAAAATGAGCGCGAGGTATTTGGCAGCTTTCGGCGGCCGGAAATAACAAAATGAAATCATAAACTACAGCAATAGCCAAAGCAATAGCAATAGATCGAACGGAATCCAGTATATGTTTATTTATTTTTCATATAAATATCATTTTAATGATCGATAACTTACATCGATCGAATCAACGAATCTCTTTCGGTTCCTGTTTTAATTTATCGACCAAAGTATTAAGGTCCAAGTTGACTTAGTTTTTAAGTATAGCAAAATGTAGTCGTACATTCGAAGACACGCTAAACTAAAATCTCTCTTATTACTTTGTAATCAAAGTGCTGTCTTTTTGTGCTATGTACTTAAGTTTTTTCAGTATTGCATCGTAGTATTGTGTGGCTGTGAAACGCTGTTTTTTACAAGTGTGTAATTTGAAAGAATGCTGAAAGATGCTTAATATAGTTTTAAGTTCTTAACGGAAATGTAGCGCATATATTATTAGATATTTTTATCTAGAGTGAGAGTAAAGATAAGATGTCAAATAAGCAATAATCAGTTTAGCTAGGTAGTAAGCTGGTGGCAGTTATATTTATATGATTTCATCGTCTGACAGAGGTCGATAATATTAGACTTCTAAGTAAAATAATCATTTAAAACAATTTCTACCATTCATTAATTGCTGCAATATTGAATAGGTGCTTGCGAAAAATGACAATAAAACATATTCTTCTGTCGTATTAATACATTGTATTTCATATTTAAAATAAAATTCTAGTGGCAGAAGTTTTTCCTGCTGTGTTTTATAGTTTCTAATTTATTATATATAAAAATAAATTACTTCATCAACAGGCAGACTAGAGTACGGCTTCCGAAGCTCGCCACTTATTTTTGAAGTGAAAACTTCTTTATCGGCGTTGTACACTTTTTTGTTTGGGTAAAAAATTATAACTCGCGTTAGAATACGTGGCCTGATCGCGCCAGGACACGTGGCCTGATCGCGTCAGGACACGTGACCCAATCGAAAATTCGTAAGACAAAAACAATAAAATTGGAAAGGTTGTTGACATTCAATGTATTGGAGCAAAATAAAGTAATATTTTATTTTATCGTATTATAATAATAAGCCTCTACCTAGGACGTCCAGGTGGCAGCTTTATAGCGAAGAAAATGGATTTTTTTACAATAGATGTCGCTAGGTGCGCTTAAATGTGATTCATGTAAGTTGATTTTTCTGAGAGATAAACTTTTTAATGTAACATAAATTGTCACGCACAAACATGACTATAGCGCAATAAATAAACATTGTATTCTACCACATAAATGATAGTACTGTTGTACTGATATGACTAAAGCAATTCGTGCAAAATTATTCCCTAACCATTCCAAAATATCAAAAATGCACAACGATAATATTCAAGTTTTTACTTCTGCCGGCACTCCCGGAGTGCAACCCGTCGTTTTTTTCTAGTTAACATAGGCGTAGACTACATTCGTCTTGGGAACAATGACGATGAAATCATATAGGTACCTAAATTGCCAGCTCTCTAGCTATATGGTAAACAATGTAGCGCTTTATATTCGCAAAATTTATCTTTAAAAATATTTAACATGATCCATCGAGTCGAGTACATTGAGCCACTAAACGCGTCCACAAGCTGCGGTCGGCGTTTTTCGCTTCTATTAGGTGGTCGCCACGAAGCCACTGGTGTCCGCCACGATGCCACTGGTGGCCGCCACTAAGCCACTGGTGCCGCCACGAAACCACTGGTGGCCGCCACTAAGCCAATATCGGCACCGATCGGTGGCTGCATCTAATAGCTTGACTGAGCCACTAGTAGCAGCATTTAGTGCCTGAATGTGCGGCTTCCTCATAGAATGTATGAGAATGAAACAATAACACAAGGAAAAGCGCAGTTATTGCTATCTAATGGAGACGCTAAGAATGTAACAAATTGGTGTCGATTTTTGCAAGATTCTCTAAACTTAAAACTAAATTCAACATCTGTCTTCCTTTTCATTCTGTATAGAGAATGACAAGGATATAATCATGCTCGAATTGGGCCCAGTATATTACTGACCTACTGGTCATACTGGCCAATGTTTTGCTGTTCAATGCACCTTATTTATTGGCATTTTTTAAAGTCTAATAATGAATTACTGAGCTTGTGAAGTTATTTTAAATTAATTTTATATACATTAACTTTTGTGCTTAATTTAGATAGTAATATTTAAATTGCATTTAGACTTTTTGTTTTAACCAAGCTATTACAAGGCTTTTCAGTGTAAAGGCAAGGTTTTATAATACCCATTGCAATTAATTTATGTTCTAAAATAAATGCATTTGATTTAAATTTAAAAGTTAAGGAAATATTGTCAAATCGTAACTGATGTTATTTTCAAAGTATTCGAAATAATTAGCTCATTATTTACACGCATTTTGTTAAATTATTATCAATTATTTTGATCTTTAGAATATGGCTTATTAAATACATTTTTTAATTTGCATTTAGACTTTTTCTTTTAACCAAGCTATTACAAGGCTTTTCAGTGTAAAGGCAAGGTTTTATAATATCCATTGCAATTAATTTATGTTCTAAAATAAATGCATTTGATTTAAATTTAAAAATTAGGGAAATATTGTCAAACCGTAACTGATGTTATTTTCAAAGTATTCGAAATAATTAGTGCATTATTTACACACATTTTGTTAAATTATTATCAATTATTTTGATCTTTATAATATGGCTTATTAAAATAAATTTATTGCTTCAAAAAAATAGTTATTATTTAAACCACTATAACTTGGGAAACAAAAAACATTTTTATTTAAACAGTTTATTTTTTGTTTCAATACAATTTATTACGATATTTTCATAAAAAATCACAGTTTGTTAATGCTTAATATTCTAAAACTTATAATTACAATTTTATTAATAAAACACATCATAACACTACACATTGATTATGCCTACGATCACACGACTATCACAATAATGAACATTTATTATAAATTAAATCATGGCTGGCACATATTCTTTTTTTTTATATATTTACACGTAATTTTATTATGTTGAAAAGTTAAACAAGTTTATTTACATATGTATAAACGCCAAAATGAAACAAAGACGTAAGATATTTTGTTTCGCAATTTCTTTCAGAAGCATAGACAAATATAATTTGTGCCTTCGCTGTCCAGCTGTAATGTAAACGGGGCAGACTAGTCTCTGAAAGATAAATCGATCGTACGGCTAATGGTCAATTCATACTAACGCAGGGTCGAAGGGCATGGAAGCGAATTACAGAACGTAACAAAGGAAATCCAGCCTTATTAACCTTGAGCCAGAAACGTTTTTACATAATGTAAAATTACTGGTTTTGTTAGAGCAAATTTACTTTTGTTAGATTCGAAAACAGACTTTGTTTCCCATTTAACAAGACATGGCTGATGAATAATAGTGTATTTTGTATGGCTTAAGTATATAATAATATACCACTTGAAATTAGAGAAGCTGAAAGCCCCATATTTTGTTCAAATTTCAAGAATATATTTAGGAATTTTCAGAGGACAAATCTTTGTAAACGGATGTACCTATTTGTATGCCTTGTGGTGAAATATAGAAAAAGTTTGTAATGTATTATAATTGAAAACCTTTGTATCACCTGTAATACGCAAATAAATGATTGATTGATTGATTGATTGTCGTGGCGTGTCGTGGCGCGCTAGAAGTACATCGCTTTCATTCATTTACTATGGTTACAGACATATTTACGTGTCGTGTCGACGCTCTAACCTCTCTCTCTCTCTCTAACCCACAATAAATGTATGAAACCGATGCGTCACGACACGTTAATGTGTTTCTGAGTTTTTAACCCCGGAACGTAATGTACATATTTCTTCTGAAATAAAAAGAAGACGCGAGAATAACGCAGATTATCAGCTCAGAAGGAATTTGTTCTTTACATAGTGGAGATAAGGATGAATTTGCTATGTTACTGTTTCTAAAATTAACTAGAATGAACGCTAGAATGATTTGACCATAGTACTTTTATAAGTGATGGCCGCACCATCGCTTTCTCTTTCTCTAAATGACGAGTAATCAATTTAATGCTATATATTGTTTTTAACAACACTAACATTTAACTGGATTGTTACCATGTACCTTTTTATTATGAGTCTCCGATTTGGTATTTTGGCACTGTCGCAAGTGGAGTAACTGGAAATAATTGTTACTCCGTTACAAGGGACATAGTAACAATCCCGTTAATAGCTATAATAGGGTATTTGACAGTGTTAAAAATAAAGTGCCAATTGTTAGCATCTGTGTTTAGAATGAATATTGGCAGGGGTTTTTACTATTTTTACAATAAAAATATTCATAATTTTACTAAAAACTAACGAAAAAGGTAATAGTTTTCTTATCTATTGTCACGTGATCCAAAACGGATTGGCGGAGCCTAAAATGGCGTCACACGCAAGTAAACTTGCGGTTAAAGTGACATTACATCGTATCGTTTGACGTTTTTATAACAGTCGTGTGACGTCACACACTAGTAAGACGCCATATTGTCCAGAGAAACGTTTTCGCGGCAACTTGAAAATGGAGTTTTTGATTTGGTTATTTTTACTGAAATACACAACAGAATGATGAATATCCACTTTTTACGGACTCCATAAACATTAGTCAATAACGTGAGATCGTTTTCTAAAACTTGTCAAATACCCTATTTCATATTAGTGTCACTGAGTCCATTCTTTACATCTATAATCAGGAATGTTGTGTCAAAATGAATAGAATATCTTGCGTTTTCAGTTTCGCTTCGTTTCTGTATTGACTGAGTAATTTTTTTGTGCGGTCATCACGGTATTCAACTTACGGTCGCGCTCAAAGACGTGAATTTAATATTGAATTAAAATTATTAGTGTCTGAATATCACCGTAAGTAAGAGTTTTTAACTTAATATTATACCGGTTAGCTGTGTTACGCGACAATAAAGCGCGTAGGGAAAATGTGAATTTTAACTAATCAATTTCTTTACATAAAGCCCAGATTTGAGTTCGGTTCTGATTTTACCAAGCTAGTAAGATAAAGATTATATTATCTATTATATTTTTTTTTTTAAAGTTAGGGCAGCAGTTTTTGTAGAGACTCCGAGAGAGTTTTAGAACTTAGAGGTGAAATTAGAGAATGATTGGAAAATTGAAAACTTACCTACTCTCAATTTAATTCCACTAACTAAAGTTTTGGTCAAACCATGGATTTAAATTCCTTATGGTACACTTCTAAATATTTTTCCGATGATTGGATGACACGCCCCAAAACCAGTTAATATAATTTGTACTATTTAGGACCGTAAAATGGACAATTATGTGTTCTAATTAAAACATGTGTATATTGTTATCGTCATTAACTTCGGTTTAGTATAAATAATAATTGTTCCTTATTACTAGTGAGCAAATATTTGTTTGAGCACAGTCAAGGTAACGGAATTCGATGGTCTTGTTATACGATTTTCATTCTTATTGTCGCGTCATAAAGACGATTTAAATGCCAAAATTCTCTAATCCCTGACTGTACGGACGTATAGCACATATTCACAAATAAATTCATTTAACTTTTTGGCAAGACCAACATCAGGTAAATATTAGTTCTATTTAATTCTCTACAGATAAAATAATTTTCCCTGTAACTACATATATACCGTAATATCGTTTCTTTTGTATCTTACATGTGATGTAACATCAATACTAAAACAATGGAAATAAACTAAGCGACTTTCAACATTGTCACCACTGAATAGAATTCAATTTAAAACTTTCATAATTCGTGTTAGAGTCATTTTAAAATGTATCGTTATGAATTGAACGGTATTGTGTGTAATTTTTTGCATTACCTCAATATGGTTTTGCTAATTGCAAAACCGCAATTAATGAGCGAGTATTCCTTCCTTATACATTACCCAAACTTATAGCTGTTCTGTTAACCCGACCTTATAATATTCTAGTCGTATCTTCGTTACAAAAAAGGCCAGAGTGTTTAGAATTTCGTAGTAACATGGTTCTTATCTTCGGGTTTCCCGTTCATTGTAACAGGGGCTTTTTCCTCGTTCAAAGAGCTGTTTCTTAAGCCATACCCAAAGTATATAATGTAGCCTGTAATCAAAAATATTGATGAGTTCACAAAAAGTGCGGCCAATAAGATTTTAACCTTATAGCTTTGCGTCTGATCAATCTTTTATTACATCTAGAGGTCGAATCGAATTCGTATCGTTTGCGAGTCCGAAATGTCATTGTCAAATGTATACTGATTTTTAGTTCTCCTTACGTACTTTGTGGCGCTGCTGTTCAAGTTTACATACAAAATTTGACATTGACCTTTGGGACTCGCAAACTATTCGAATTCGATAATGGTTCTTGCTAGGATTACAGTACCTTTATCTGTCATGGTTTGTGGTTAGTTTCGGTTTGAAGTTAGAAGTTAATCTATGGTGGTCGGACTATTCTTTGATAGCAATTTACTCACATCCAAAAATCACATGACCTAAATTCCGTCGCATCTGCGATGCAAATACCGAACGTAGCTAGTAAGTAAATAATATTTAGCTGATGAGATTGGATTGGTTTTCTGGGGAAGTAAAGGCACTTCCTTAGAAGGAAATGATGATGGGATTGTCTTCTGAAACCTGATGCCTTTTGTTATGGTCGTTTTTGCCTGGCGCCAAGAGTTCATAGTACATCTACTCACGGCTTAAGGAATCATTTTCAAGACCTTGAAAGTATGGGTTAACCAGAGAAGCTCGATGGCGCAAGTGGTTTGTGCATTCGGTTTGCGATCGTGGAAGTGAAGCAATTTTCGCAATGGCCGGTCATCGGATGGGTGACCAAAAACTTATTATCTGGAGCTCCTCGCTTCGGCACGCTAAGCCATTGATCCCGGCTGCATCTACAGTCATTAATACCCAGAAATCGCACTGGGCCGCGTATTGGGTCATCCAATCTGCCTATTTCATCCGTAGGCAAGGCTCTGCAGTGGAGACATTAATAGGCTGGTGATGATGATGCTGTACTGACCGACTGCTAGCCAGATGATGAACCGCACCCAGGTCTGGTAGTCCAGCTGCACCATCAGGTACACGTTCATGCACACGCTCAGGTATGGCACCAGGGGCACGAGCGGGACCTGCAAATATAAAGACAATGTTATATTTTGTTATTATTTTTAAAGCATGTAACTGCTTGATGTTTAAATCTAAAGAAAATATAACTGGAAAAAATTCCAGTGCATCATGCGGGTCAGTGCATTCGCCCGGATTGCGAAGGGTGCGGGTTCGAGTCCCGTCTGCTGCCTGGTCCGCGTGGATTTTTTTCTAGTTATATTTTCTTTAGATTTAAACATAAAGCAGTTACATGCTTTAAAAATAATAATAAAAAAAAAAAATTATAACTATAATTGCTATTTCTTCTTTCAAATGTTTAATACTTGTAAAAGTATTCATTTGACATTGTGGGTTTACCTATAATGCGAAGAGATGGCGCTGCCTTGCAGCTTAAGAATAGCTAGAAAGAATTTCGACGCGGTCCGTGAGGGCCGCGGTAGCATAATTGGTCAGTGCATTCGCCCGGATTGCGAAGGGTGCGGGTTCGAGTCCCGTCTGCTGCCTGGTCCGCGTGGAATTTTTTCTAGTTATATTTTCTTTAGATAAAGACAATGTCTTGGTCAACACTAACTTTTAAATAAATAAATGTTGCACGACATCACTGGCTATATCTATCTATACACGCAATGGCAATAGACTAGTCTCTGTGATAATTCCAAAGAGCATGCGGTTCAAAAAGAATTGTTATTTGATGTGTATACAGATTTATAATAAGGTACCAACAAACATAAAACAATTGCATTTTATAAAATTAAAGACTGCTTTGTTTAAATGGCTACACGATAAGATGTTTTATAGTGTAAAAGAATATTTGAGTGATTGTATCTAGTGACATTTTAATGATAATAATTATAGTAGGTTCTTCTCTTTACATAATGGTGCTGTATAATTATCATTGTAATCTTTGACATTATTAATTGGACTTTTGAATTTTTTAACCATGTATTTAATTTTGAATGATGTTTTATAAAATGAAGCGGACACTTTTTGTAATTTCACTGACTTATGATGAATTTAAATTTATTGTTATTGATATTGAAAAATGATTTCACAATGTTAATTAATATGTATTACGTTTAATTATGTAGTGTTAAAATATTTGCATGCTATTTAAGATGGCTGAATGGGTCGAACTTCAAAATTTGTAAAATCCCCAGTGTACCCTATTCAAATGCAAATAAATTAATTAATTCTAATTCTAAAATATGAAAACTGGATTAACAGTGAACAGTAGGAATCAGAAAGGAAACCGAAAAGGGACGAATAGTTATAGAAAATATTTGTATCTGCCCGTGTACGTACAACCTCGTTGTATTTCTATATGATCACTCTCACAGAACACAGAAAGAGGTTAGAAGGGTCTTCAGAGACCTTTTGTACGGGAACCGATGTCGCCGGCTCGCCCGCACTACACTTACACCTAATAGATATTAGCCAATCAAACGCCGTGACATCAAACAATCGAACCAATCGGCGCTCACACCCCATCGCAACAAAGCAATCGTTGCCAAGTTTTGGTCAAGTTATGAGCATTTGCTCACAACTAACTGTGGCGTGCCTGCCCGGCCCACAAGGCCCTTCTAACATCTTTCTGTGTTCTGTGATCACTCTCATATTATTACAGGAGTACTGCATGCAGTCCTCAAACTAAAACGCGCCTAAATGACACAACCAACTTTTGAGATATGGCCAAAAAACGGCTCGTAAACTTAAAATTATTTCTATTTTGTAACCATTCTGCACATGACGGATTTTTTGACTTAAACTATAAAAGATACGAGTACTCGTTAAAGACAGATCGATAGAGTATTCAAAACTATATAAGATGCAATTTAGGGCTGAAAACTCGACCACTTGTCACTTAGCTGCACTTTAGTTTGAGGACGGCAGAGTAGTGATAATGAAAAGTACGAAACGCTTTCACCGTTACGAAAGTATTCAACAGAACACAGATCTTTCTAACCTTTTGGTTAGAAAAGTGCTAATACACCGTTTGTACGGGAACCGATGTCGCTGGCTCACCCCCACTACACTTCCACCTAGTAGATAATCGCCAATTAAACGACGCGACATCAAACAATCGACCCAATCTGCGCTCACACCCGAGAGCAACGATGCAATCATAACCACGTTTTGTTTAAGTTCTGAGCATGCGCTCACACAACCAGGGCTTGTATACCGGTTAATTTTCAAACCTAAATCAGTGTCAAGTACATTAGGAGCGTTTTATTTAGGTTTGGCTCAACCTTAACCTTAAAAAACCGGTTTTCCTAAAGAGCGAAATCAAATAGGTTTTGAATCAATTTAGCGGTTTTTAAAGGGTTTCGTTTCGCTCTTTCTGACGGCATCGATAATAAATGAATAACTTGACTCACTAGACGCTAGCAAACGTGTCAATAAATGCATCAATCTCTGAGCATTATCAAGTTGTGACTTGATTAGTTCAAACAAAACAAACTTGTCGCTCTGGATTAAACCGGTTTATTAAGGTTTTAGGTACCGCTTTCATTTCGGACGCGCTCCGAACGAAACCTTTACTAAAAACTGGTATTAACCTTTATTTACCGGTATTTTCGAAACCGGTATCAAGCCCTGCACACAACTGTGGCGTGCCTGTCCTGTCCACAAAGTCCTTGTAACCTCTTTCTGTGTTCTGTGAGGTATTCCTTACCAAAAGTGTTAAGATACTTCATAGGGAATGTCGAAGCCCCAGAGTGGGAACATTAGGCTAATGAAGATTATATATTTGTATTGTCATTTTAAGCATAAAACAGATTTATAATCTAGCTGGTCGGTCCGACCTGATAGTGAAAAGGTCGAGTCCTGTCTGAAACCTTAACTGAGTGATTTTTGATGTGTAACAACTTTCCTCTCGCTTTCCTGCAATTTGTGGAAGTGATTTCGTGAAATGGGACGAAAGTGTGTAACAGGAAGTCGCGAAAGGCTTATTCCTTTTGTAGTAGGTTTTATTTCTTTTTTTACTAATATAAGGTGAGGTTTCAAATGTTACACATCATACGCGACTACTGTTAGGCTCGCTCGTTTTTTTCTTTCTTTTTAGCATTAATTTCATGCGAGTATTGCTGAAGTCCATTCTTCAAGTGTAGAGTGGGGTGTGGTACAGTTTGTCTATGTGGAAGGTAGAGTGTGGTAAGGTATAGTACAGTATACTGACGGTGAAAAGCTCAGATGCCGAATGTCTCTTGAAGGCTGTCGGTACAGTACCAGCAGTGTGTCTATGTAGAGTGTGGTACAGTAAAGTGCAGTATACTGACGGTGAAGCTCAGATGCTGCACGTCTCTGGAAGGCTGTCGGTACAGCACCAGCAGTATGTCTATGTGGAGTGTGGTACAGTAAAGTGCAGTATTCTGACGGTGAAGCTCAGATGCCCAATGTCTCTTGAAGGCTGTCGGTACAACACTATCAGTGTGTCTATGTGGAGTGTGGTACAGTAAAGTACAGTATACTGACGGTGAAGCTCAGATGTCGCACGTCTCTTAAAGACTGTCGGTACAGCACCAGCAGAGTGTCTATGTGGAGTATGGTACAGTAAAGTGCAGTATACTGACGGTGAAGCTCAGATGCTGCACGTCTCTGGAAGGCTGGCGGTATAGCACCAGCAGTGTGTCTATGTGGAGTGTGATACAGTAAAGTGCAGTATACTGACGGTGAAGCTCAGATGCTGCACGTCTCTGGAAGGCTGGCGGTATAGCACCAGCAGTGTGTCTATGTGGAGTGTGATACAGTAAAGTGCAGTATACTGACGGTGAAGCTCAGATGCTGCACGTCTCTGGAAGGCTGGCGGTATAGCACCAGCAGTGTGTCTATGTGGAGTGTGATACAGTAAAGTGCAGTATACTGACGGTGAAGCTCAGATGCTGCACGTCTCTGGAAGGCTGGCGGTATAGCACCAGCAGTGTGTCTATGTGGAGTGTGATACAGTAAAGTGCAGTATACTGACGGTGAAGCTCAGATGCTGCACGTCTCTGGAAGGCTGGCGGTATAGCACCAGCAGTGTGTCTATGTGGAGTGTGATACAGTAAAGTGCAGTATACTGACGGTGAAGCTCAGATGCTGCACGTCTCTGGAAGGCTGGCGGTATAGCACCAGCAGTGTGTCTATGTGGAGTGTGATACAGTAAAGTGCAGTATACTGACGGTGAAGCTCAGATGCCGCACGTCTCTGAATGGCTGGCGGTATAAAACCAGCAGTGTGTCTATGTGAAGTGTGGTACAATAAAGTGCAGTATTCTGACGGTGAAGCACAGATGCCCAACGTCTCTAGAAGGCTGTCGGTACAGCATCAGCAGAGTGTCTATGTGGAGTGTGATACAGTAAAGTGCAGTATACTGACGGTGAAGCTCAGATGCTGCACGTCTCTGGAAGGCTGGCGGTATAGCACCAGCAGTAACAGCAACAGCGCGGCTCCGAGAGCTCCCAGCGCCGCGCCTGCGCCCGCGCCGATGCTCTCCCATCGCAGCAGTGCGCCGCATACCATTGCCACCACGACTGTTAAAGATAAGAACTCGACGTAAGTATATTATACACTACTGTAGGAAGGCCAAAGGGGAAGATCTTCCTCCGAGCTGGGTGGTGGTAGCTCGGGGGCCGCGGCCCGACTGATATTGGTCGGGCATCGTATATATGGAGTGTTAGGCTCCGAATTTCTCTTGCGCGTTGTAGGCTTCCATACGTTGTGAACGCAGCGCCGGTAGCGCCATCTCTGGAGGAGGCGAGTGTTTATTTCCTCCATGTTAGTTACATGTGGGGCATATAGATGTTGCCGCCACACTACTAGGACAACAATAGGTAATTAAATAGGGTTGATGACGGGGTAAAGTAAACGAAATTCTATTTCGTCCGACAGTTAGATGATAAAATAATAATGGACACGTATTTTTTCTTTGGTCAATCAACCAAAAAATGACAAAGATAAAGCGCGTCAAAGTTTGGGAGTGGGGCATCGTGACGTCACTTTTAAGTAAAAATTGTACCAAAATGTGATGTCATGCGACTTTTCAAATCAATATATCTATGTTATGATTTGATTATGTGAAAAAAGAAAAATACGTGTCTAATACTTTTTGATAATCTACCTAATACACGAAGAAAAAAAAGTTAGTCGTCATCCCTATTATAGCAATCACAGCGACTAAAAGTAAATAGTTATACTAAAGAACTTCGATTACAGAACTGAAGGCAGATGGAATCACCAAGCAAATACAAATACCAACTCGCCAGTACGCTAGTAGAAAGAAAGTAGAATGAATATTTGTTCCAAAACCTCCCTTTAGTTCTTAGTACAGTCAATCTGTAGGTTGAGTGGTGAAAAAAAAATCTAAAGGGTAAGTCTTGTTTTTTCTGTTGCCAAATGACGTCAGTAAGCCACCTTGGCGATGGGCATGTTCAACTCGTAGGCGTTTTTTGAAAAACAAAAAAACCCTCAAAAATTTTTTAAACGCATTTTTCTTGTTTTGTATGCATTTTAGAAACTTTTTTTTCGACCATAATTGTAGAGGGCGTTGAGTACTAAAATTTATGTCATTGTTGCAATCTCGTACAACCAAAAATGCGCATTGTAGGTGGCGCTAAAGTCTCAAAAAAAGTGCTTTTTCACTATTTCACCCTGAAAATATCATTTTAATGGAAAACTTTAAATGGAAAAGTTGTACCGTACATAATTACCAACAACTTTTGTATAAACAATTTGTTTGTATTGTACCGTTTTCAAGTTATAAATTGCGCAGGTATGAAAAATCCAATAGAGCGGTTTTGGGCAGTTCAAGTACACATTTGCAGTGCACATTTCAATGTACGTTTTACTATTGGCTTACTGACGTCATTTGGCAACAGAAAAAACAAGACTTACCCTTTAGGTTTTTTTTTCACTGAAATGATATTTTTTCGACAGATTGACTGTACTATCTACTATAATATGAGCTAAAGAAGTGCTATATCTATGCGTAAATTTGTTTTTTCGTTTTCTTATACATCATCATCATCAGCCTATTAATATCCCCACTGCTGGGGCACAGGCCTTCCCTATGGATGGAATAGGGAGATTGGGCCATGATCCACCGCGGGCCCAGTGCGGATTGGTGGGTGTTAACGACTGCAGTTGCAGCCCGAACTAACGGCCTTACGTGCCTTCCGAAGCACGGAGGAGCTCGAGATAGTAAATATTTGTTCACCCTTCCAATGACCGACCACTGCGAAAATTGCTTAACTACAACGATCGCAGCCGAACGCGCTAACCACTTGCGCCATCGAGCTCCTCTTTTCTTTCTTATACACCGTGCCTTAATCCCCGAAAATAGGGGCGAATGATTGCCATGATCTGTGACCAAAAATTTGTGTGAAGTTTCTCCGTGTTTCAGAAGCCATTGGTCCCGGCTTTAACTGCTGTAGTTTGCACTGAACACCGGCGCGTTCTCCCTATTCTATCCATAGGGAAGGCCTGTGCCTCAGCATTGTTAACACTAAGCAGCTGATTATGATAATGTAGTAGTTACTCACAGAACACACAAATGGTGACTTTAGCGATGTTAGCGGAGAGCTGCGTGGGCTCCTTGAGTCCGAGCAGATTGAACGCCTGCCGCGCTACCGAGTAGGGGGTCTCTGGTAACGGTTTGTTGCCGTTATGGGGGGGCGTCTGTACCTCTTCATACCTAAGGACATATTATGCAATAGTTTAAAGACCCAGATATTTGGATTATTGTTTAGATTTCGCCCGTCTTGTAGTAAGTGCCTGGTAAAGACTTTTTTTTTTAAACACACACCAATTAGCCTAGCCCCAAAGTAAGCACTATAAGGCTTGTGTTATGGGATACTAGGGTAACGGATAGAATACACATACTTTACATATATAAGTATATTTATATAGAAATACATATTTAAACATCCATGACTGGAGTACAAATGCTCGTGTTCATCACACAAATATCTGCCCCCACCGGGATTCGAACCCGGGACCTCTCGAGTCGGCGATGCCATGAAACCCGGCGTACAAACCACTCGTCAAACTTTATTCTTTTTGTGTCACTTTCATAAATTACCAGTGGCCTTTAGTGGTCAATAATGGTCTGGCAGATACAGGCATGATATTATTGCTCGTAATTAACAATATATTGTCATTTTAATGAGGTTACTCAACACTTACCTCAATATTAAGATGCTGGTTGCGACTATCGTGTATGCTAGAAGAGTACCGATTGACATCATGTCGATCAGTTGGTTCAAATTGAAGATCGCCGCCATTATAGCTGAAATATATAAACACATATGTAAACATGACGATGCAATTAATATCTACCCTAATGTTATTTCGAATCTTAATTATTCTAGAAAATTCAGTGCCTGAAAAGTGTTACATTTAAATGGAGTTCGGCTTACAACAATTATCAAGCGTCTTTACATTATCCTACTAGACTGCTAGCTCGTTCCTTCTACATACACGCTTATACTGGAGACCAGATAATTTGGGTGACGTTCTTACCTGACAGCAAACCGCTGAAGATCGCCAGCACAGGTCTCTTAGTCCTCTTGTTGGAGTTTACTCCTTAAGAATCGATTTGCATATATGAGGGGCCCGGTATGAGAAAAATGTGAGGAGTAAAATCTATCGATGAATGACCTCGTTACGTTTTTGGTGCGCATCCTATGTCGCGCAACTTTGACAAACAGAGATGACGGATTGACATTAATATTTTTTTTAAAATCTGAACTTAATTTAGATATTGTTTCTGATAGAGCAATGGGGACAACGAGGTATGGTACAACCATTGATGCGGTATTTTCAAGATTCGTGAACCACGTATCTAAGAACGTCCATGTGTCTTATTTTAGTTACCATAAACCACTTGTCACTGTAATTAATAATGCAGATAATGTTGATTTAATTAATATTTAAAAAAATGATAATAGTCTGATAATAATAATTACATAATTTATCAACATTCCTAATGATATATTTATGCACATCTGAAATTGACTATTGTAAAAAGTTTAATGTAAAATATTTCGTCGATTAGTTATATAAAATGAATAAATATATATTTATATATGTATATTATTTTCATTAATTTGTTAATTTACCCTTTCATACAGTATCAATCTTTTTTAAGTTAAATAAACTCTTTTTGCGTCTGGTTAGACTATCGAACTTAAGGAGTAAACTCCAGTCGTGCGTCGGAGCTGACACACACAATTTTTTGATCGCGGATAGTGGTCGACAGAGTACTGTGGCCAAAGCGTACAAACTTTGGGCATAGGGTACATTCCTTCTACATGCTACTTTTGTAGAGGCCAGAAATCAAATTAAGCAGTTCTTACCTGACAGCAAACCGCTGAAGAACGTCGCAAACAGAGGGGTCTTAGTCCTCTTGTTGATCGCAGACAGCGATTGGAAGATTACACCGTCTGTCCCCATGGCGTACAATACCCTGAGCAGAGGGAATATTCCTTCTAAACGCTTCTTTTGGAGAACAGAAATAAGGTATTGGTAGTTCTTACCTGATAGCAAACCGCTGAAGAACGTCGCTAGCAGTGGTGTCTTTGTCCTCTTGTTCATCGCAGACAGCGGTCAGAAGCGTACGCTGTCTTTGTCCATGGCGTACAACACCCTTAGCAGCGGGAACATACCTTCTATACGCTTCCTTTGGATACCCAAGAAATGAGGGAGACAGTTCTTACCTGACAGTAAACCACGGAAGGAAGTCGCCAGCAAAGGTGTCTTAGTCCTCTTGTTGATCATAGACAGCGGTTGGAAAAGTATGCCGTTTGTCCCCATGCGTACACCACCCTAGGCAGTTGGTATATTCTTTCTACACGCTTCTTCTGGACAGTCCAGAAATGAAGGAGACAGTTCTTACCTGACAATAAACCACTGAAGAAAGTCGCCAGCAAAGGTGTCTTAGTCCTGTTGTTGATCATAGACAGCGGTTGGAAAAGTATGCCGTTTGTCCCCATGCGTACACCACCCTAGGCAGTTGGTATATTCTTTCTACACGCTTCTTCTGGACAGTCCAGAAATGAAGGAGACAGTTCTTACCTGACAATAAACCACTGAAGAAAGTCGCCAGCAAAGGTGTCTTAGTCCTGTTGTTGATGGCAGACAGCGGTCGGAAGAGTACACCATCTGCCCCATGGCGTACAACAGCCTTAGCAGCAGGAACATTCCTTCTACACGCTTCTTCTGGATAGCCCGGAAATGAGGGACAGTTCTTACCTGACAATAAACCACTGAAGAACGTCGCCAGCAGAGGTGTCTTAGTTCTCTTGTTGATCGCAGACAGCGGTCGGAAGAGTACGCCGTCTGTTCCCATGGCGTACAATACTCTGGGTAGCGGGAACATGGCGCCGAGCAAGCTGGTGCACAGCGCGAAGATGGCGCCGACAGTCACAATCCATTTGATCACTGGCATGCCGGTCTCCGTGAACACGTGGGGGAAAGGCGCGTCGGCGTCCTGAAAACATATGTTTACTGTGGTCACTATTCCCACACGAACAAAGAAATTTGCTGACTCATTTCTTTGTCCTACTATTGGCAAGTGGAATTCTTTGCCCGAGCACGTGTTCCCTACTTCCTACAATCTAGGGTCCTTTAAAAGAGGCGTGAAGAAGCATTACTGCAGGCCCGCAACGTGACGATGGTTGGTGTGGCAGTTTATAACTGCTGTACTAGTAGCTATCTTCGAGTCTGGACTTTACCACCACTTAACATTAGGTGGGGTAGAGAGAGTCATTTGCCTATTTAGCTATAGGCTATATAAAAAAAACATCCAGTAGATACTTCACACGTTGTATTGTATTGTAAGGCGGCGGGGAAGTAAATAATAGTACAAAACATAACGCAATATTATAGATTCTCTTGATCGAAATTCGTTCGAGGAAACATACAGCTGTACAAGCCTGTAGAGCTCTCTACCTGTAGTAAGGTCGTTAGAACACAGGTTAAAGAATAGGGTCAAGATAATTAAAGCACGATTGATACTCCTCGTGCTGCAAGTGTGTACGAACTATTGTGATGGCAATCGATTACAATCAGTTTACAATCATCCCGGTTAAATGCATGCTTATTTATAATAGTTTTTTTTTTAATTTAAATCAATAGTTTTGCGTCTGGACTCCGTCTTCAATTCAGTTGAGGTGGAGTTATTTTCTCGGATCAGTTTGTAAAATAAAGACATCATCTCTTTTGAAAAATAAACATTGAAAATTCTTGGCTTCTTTATAATAAGAACTATTCAAATGATTCTTTAATTTTCTTGAGGACCAATTACTATGTTTCTGAGGGTCATTTGAATATAGCCTTTTATAATTACATATACTGTAGAACGTTATGTGTCCTTTGCAGTATATAGTGAAATAGGACTATTTTTACTGGAAAAACTGAAGTCCATCTTTGAGTCTAAGGACACATAAGCATTACTCACCTGCAAGTAATAAGGCCACATCATAGTGAGCACCGTCGCGATACTGAAGTATGACACGAAGATTATCACCAACGACAGCACGATGGACAACGGTATGTCTCTCTTAGGGTCCTTGGCTTCTTCCCCTGTAGTCGCCACGCAGTCGAAACCAACAAACCCGAAGAAGCATTTAGCTGCGCCCGCCATCACGCCGGCCATACCCCAGGGCATAAAACCACCCGCGCCCGCTGAAGATTGGTATTCCTCAGGGATGTCCTCTAGTTTTATACGCCAGTTTTCTGGGTTACCTATTCATGGAACAATTATAAAAATGTTCAATCTTTATTGTAATAGATAAAATTAATTATACAGTCCTTTGACGTTCTGAGACAGAGAGCCTTATTTGTATGTTTGACTTTCTGTAAACTTAGTTCGAAGTTTCTGATGATTACAACACAGAGAAATATTAATTAATGTGCATTTAACCCTCCTGATGGTAAGCGGCCTATTGCCCGCCTGATGGTAAGCGGCCTATTGCCAACCTGATGGTAAGCGGCCTATTGCCCGCCTGATGGTAAGCGGCCTATTGCCTATCTATAATAGGCTATAGCATCTATAGACGCTTGTGATACAAAAATCTCACTCGCGCCTATGCCTAACCCGACCCAATCCCCATTTTATATTTATCGTTATGATTAATGTATATGTTTGCTTTAGTCGCTATTAAATCGAATTGGTTACCTACTATTAACTAAAGAAGATAGATTAATAAGAAAGCAGGTATTGAAAATTCTATATTTTTTAAGCATTTAACTGCTAGATGGTCAGATATAAAGAAAAAATTACTAGGAAAAAATTCTCTCGGACCAGGGGACCATTCGCCTAACGGAAATGCTTTGGAAAACGCTAACGCTTTCGATTTTATTTTGTTATTTCTGACCGCCGAAGGTTTTCAAATACTGAAGTATACGCTCATTTTTTTAATATTGTTATCACCAATGCAAACGAAAAAAAAGAACGCGAGGCATTTGAAAACCTCAGGCGGCTAGAAATAACAAAATGAAATCGTAAGCGTTAGCGTTTTCCAAAGCATTTCCGTTAGGCGAATGGCCCCCTGGCAGCAGGCGGGAGCCGAACCAGCATCCTGCGCTATCCGAGCGGATGCACTGATCATTATGCTATATTAGATTTAAATATTAAAAATTGGTTAAAAGTTCAAAAAGCGCATGTTTTGATGATTATATCTATAAAATAACGTGATTTTAGCTTACTTCAAGAACAATAACACTCTTATATGTCGAAAAGGTGCTTCATTGATTCATATTTGCGAAAATTTATCAAGAACATAGCAACCAAGAAGAACTAATGTCTCACATATTTCATGAGATCATTTCAAGACTTTTTAAGACGCATTTACGAAAAAATCAAATAAAAATAATATGTACCTACATAATCATTTTAATCTCAATCTTCAGACATACGTTTTGTTTTAACTCATGAATTTGCTTAAAAGATAACGCCCAACAATAACTCTTGGTTTATGGCTAAAAAATATGACATGATAATGACTCGTCGTATAATATTTTATCACTGTTTCAACTGCTAACGTTTACTGAAGCTTGAGCTCATGAGATTTGCATTGGATGTTGATATTCATTTCTTTATACTTTACAACATAAAATAAAATAGAAATAGCATAATATATATTATACTAGTGGCCCGCCCTTGCTTCGCTTCGGGGTAGAATTGATCAAAATCCTTTCTTAACGAATGCCTACGTCATAACATCTACCTGCATGCCAAATTTCAGCCCGATCCGTCCAGTGGTTTGGGTTGTGCGTTGATAGATCACTATGTCAGTCAGTCACCTTTGAGTTTCATATATATTACTAGCTGTCCCTGCGAACTTCGTACCGCCATAAAAAAATAGGGGTTGGTGGAAGAAAGTTGAAAATTTAGGGATGTATGTATTTTTGTATGATGTACCATAAAACAATTAAAACAAAAATTATCTAAAATTGACAAAATAAATTTAGGGGTGGATTACCCTTAACATTTAGGGGGATGAAAAATAGATGTTGTCCGATTCTCAGACCTACCCAATATGTACACAAAATTTCATGAGAATCGGGAAAGCCGTTTCGGAGGAGTTTAACCACAAACACCGCGACACGAGAATTTTATATATTAGACTAGCTGACCCAGCGAACTTCGACCGCCATAAAAATAGGGGTTGATTGTAAAGGGTTGAAAATTCAGGGTTATATGTATTTACTAATGCTGTATCATAAAAAAATAAAAAAAAAATATCTAAAATTGAAAAAAAAAATAGATGTCCAATTCTCAGACCTACCCAATATGCACACAAAATTTCATGAGAATCGGTAAAGCCGTTTCAGAGGAGTTTAACCACAAACACCGCGACACGAGAATTTTATATATTAGATATAGGCTCAATACCTACACGTGTCTGAACTTCATTACGCTAATCTTTCAGAAAAATTTCCATCCTTGGTTAATCACATATGAAAATAATCAGGGCACATCGGACTTTCCTTTCGCAACGGGTCATTATTTTTTATTATGGGAATAAATTGTATTTTTGATTGTTTTACTGCACTCATGTTTTGTATATTTTATGACGCATTTAATGAAGGTTGGTTTTTGGTATCTACTAAACTAGGTTTTTAGGAGGTAAACTATGTTTTGACGACGATATTTCAAACAAGATCTTCGCAGTTATTATACTGATAAGAACCGAAACGTCGTATATTTCCTTTTAAGGTATACTTCACCGAAGCGAATCTTTAAATGGATATATGTATATGTTGTTATAAAAAAATCACAGATCTCGTGCTCTACACGACTTGAAAGGGAATTTAAAATGAATCTACCTATTATATATTATTTAAAAAAAACATTTTTTTTTCAAAAACAACTTTTCCAAAATATTTTTACATCATCTTAAAGCCCTTCGAAAGTCTCAACTGTTACCAATATCGAAACAAGTGTTATGACCTAAAATGTTCCTTGGTTCAATACCGAGGTACCTTTTTTTGTATTTTCGAAATTCGGCCGTTCTCGAGATATCGGAAATTTTCTGTGAAAACACACGATTTTCGGTTAAAAAAAGTCGTTTTTTTTCGATTTTCAAAAATGTTTTTGACTTTTTCCAAAATATTTTTTACATCTTCTAAAAGCCCTTCAAATTCCGCGACTTCTGAGCCGTCATACGTCTTCGTGGCCCTAAACCTCGGGTATCACGGGCTAGTCGCGCTTTCAACGAAAATGGGGGCCTACTGGAGCGAACAAAATACTTTTTCATTGTTAATATTCCGGAAGCTTGTGGGCTGAACATTTACCATACTATATATATACTCTTTGTTTTCTGATGATGACGAAAAAATTGTCGACTATAATATAAGTAGGTACATATTATTGTGACCGATTTTTTAACCAGTAATAACAGCATTGTATTCTGCCATTATAGTATCCTGTCAAGCTTTTTGTTTTTGAAGAAGAGTAGCGCCGTCATTTTTTTATTTTAATAATATTTTTATATTTGTATTAAATATCACATAGAAGTAAACTATTTCTTCTTCATGTTATAAAATAAAACCGCACGAAATTGTTGTCACAAAACACAAACTTACAAGTTAAATAGGTACCTACTTAAAAACACCATGCAATCGGTATACAAACACCTATTTGACAGACAAATTATTATAGGTCGCCATTCAACTTAAACGCCCAAAAACACTACGTCTTTTCAAATTTGACATTACGAAAGAGATATATGCAAGATACTTTCATTCATCATTCTCTCTTCTTGTTGGGTTAGTAAACCATGGATTATTTTCTGTTCGTGCAAGTTCTCTGAGTTAAGAAAATGTTATATTATATTAACTTTGAGTTAGTAAACTCGAAGTTATTTTGTAATCTCAAGATTTACGTGCAAGCGGACCTAACAGTGTAACGCATATTTTATAGTTAAAAAAGAACACAGCTTAACAAGGCCATAGCTCAATTACGAGTACATTATCTTGTTACACATGCAGTGAACGATGGTGTGGCCTTCCTTGGCGACCTCCGTGGCCGAGTGGTATGTATGCCGGCTTTCAAAGCGTTCGCCTACTCGTGGTATTCGTATCCCGGTGGGGGCAAATTTTAGTATGATGAATATTTGTGCCTTAGTCATGGATGTTTATATAAATATACTCGTCAAAAAAGTCTAAGCCACATCTACGGTGTTTAATTTCTGAATGATTTTACATTTGTAATATATTTACCATAGATGAATTATTGGTCTCGAAGCGATGATATTTACATATATTATACTAACAATCGAAAAGTTTATATTTTCAAAATCAGCCAACTGTCAGAGAACAAGAAAAAAAATTATATAAAAATCTATGTGCTAAGAAAAAAAAAATAATATCAACATAGGTAAAGTTTCTGTAAATGGTGCGTGTTGTTTATTTCTATATTCACATAGTCGACGACCTCCGTGGCCGAGTGGTTTGTACGCCGGGTTTCAAGGCTGTGTCGCCGACTCGAGAGGTCCCGGGTTCGAATCCCGGTGGGGACAGATGTTTGTGTGATGAATACGAGCATTTGTACTCCAGTCATGGATGTTTAATATGTATTTATATAAATATACTTATATATGTACAGTATATGTATTCTATCCGTTACCCTAGCATCCCATAACACAAGCCTTATAGTGCTTACTTTGGGGCTAGGCTAATTGGTGTGAGTGTCGGAAATATTTATTATTATTTATTTATTTAAATATATTTGTATTCTATCTGTTACCCTAGTATCCCATAACACAGGCCTTACAGTGCTAACTTTGGGGCTAGGCTAATTGTTGTGAGTTTGAGAAAGGTTATTATTATTATTACTTTTGACAGCGCCCGCGATGACTACTATGATGACCGTGGCCATGTTGAGAGCGGTGAACACGTTGTTCAGTTTGGTTGACTCTTTCACACCGATGCCCAGGAGAACTGTTAACAAAAATACATTACAATACAATACAAAACACTGTATTGAACACCACAGAAAACATTACAATAATACAATTACTTTTCTTCATATACAATGTATAATTATACATTGTATGTGAAGAAAAGTTATACTAGAAAAAAACCACTCCTTCCTTTATTTATTTATTTTATCCTTCATGCACATACTGTACAATGGCGGACTTAATGCCGTAGGCATTGTCTACCAGTCAACCATAGGGTGTTGTGAAGATTTTAGTGGTAGGATGCACAACTGAGGTGGTGACATTTAAAGAAATATGAATATTGTACTAATAATAAATATTATCATATAACAATAATACATATTAGTAAATATATACAAATAATCACCACTAAAAATATACAAACACATAAATACACACATACCTACTTCATATAATACATACATGACGACAAATTACTTAACGAAACGGCTTTTCCAGTAAAAGGCTTCGCAGCTTGGTTTTAAAGGAATGTTTGTTGGGGGACATTCTAATGTTTAGCGGGAATTCCTTTCGCTATTGTACCCAGATAGCGGAAGACGCGGTTTCGAATCCTGCTTGAATCCTGAACAAAGTGTTTTTTAAGTGAAAACTTCTTCATTATCGTTGTGGCTTGAGATTCGATGTAACGGAAGTAGTTAGTAAAGTTGTTTGTTTTTTCATCCAATGACGAAATGAGCTCTGAATTTTCATTTCTTCGAATAGGAATAAATACTAAATTTATAGTAATCTAATTTATCGGTTATTGTTAGCAGTCACGTGAAAACAATTTACAGATGAGCTCGATATTTACTACACTTAAGATAAAATATTTCCGTCATTCGTCAATCGCTAACCGACCACAACAATGAACATCTCCCATTTTCCAACAATAGATTTGGTTTCAAGGTAAAAATATTAAGTACTGCCTAACAGATAATATTGTTGATAACCACTTAAAAGACATGTTTATAATCATTACTTCCCTATTAAGCCGGCAGTAAAAAAATAAAAACCTTTTATATTAAAAGGAAAAAAACATTTATATGTAATGGATAAAATTTGGAAACTGAATCGAGCTTCGAAAATTTCCAAATTGAGACATTCGTTGCATCGTTATATTGCAAAATGGCCCAATGCCTATGCCTATTGCAGCAGCCACTGACACTGGCTTTTACTTGACAATTGTCAAAAATTCTAATACCGAAGATCATCGATAGGCTTATGCTTCTCCCATAACTGTGCGACAAAGCTTGGTACTGCTTAAGTTGTAATTCGGAGCTTGGTAGTCTGGTCCGTTCATAGTAATTAATAGGCGTCCTACACATACCCTCAGGCATTGTCCTAATACAACGCGATAACGCGAATGAGCGATGCGATCATCGTACGAGTCGACGATCTAACATATTGATCTAGAATAGGTATCCTAATAGGCGACCGCGCGATGCATTCGCGCGACTAAAATGTTTAAAAATCTATTCGCGCGAACGCGCAATGAAACCTATTAATGAAGAATAGGGTGTCCTAACTGAAGTTCGCGCGATGATCGCGTCGCGTCGATAGGAATCGGGGAGAGGGGCAGGGCTAACCCGTTCCGTATTCGCTTTCTATTAGGACACCCAGTTCGCGATCACGCGATGGTCGCATCGTATAAACGCGCGATGATCGCGTTCTCGCGTTGTATTAGGACAATGCCTCACGTAGCTCAACTGAGAGTAATGGCAAAACTTTGCATGCAAACCCTAACGTGTATGTGCAATATGAAACTCGGTTATGCATGTCGGTTATGCATGTACGGCTAAAACCATCAAGCAAAACCTAATGTGTATGGCTTCCATAAGATGCAATCAAACTTACTCGTAATCAGAAACACGAGAGCGAACGCGAAGAAATCAGGATAATCAGCCAGGAACGATATGTTGATTGGTGCGATATCTCTCATAGTGTTCGCCATTGTATTGTTGCAGAGGCTGTCGATATAGTTGGCCATGCCCTTGGCTACGCTGGCGGTGCCAATCACATACTCCAGGATGAGGTTCCAGCCAATGGTGAAGGCTATAAACTCGCCAACGCTTACGTAACTGTAGACGTAAGCGGAGCCCGCTTTAGGCACTCGGGATGCGAACTCGGCATAGCATAAACCTAGAACAAAATAGGTTACTATTACATTACGAATTAGGTCTAATATCTGTATAATGCAAGTAGTGCGAGTTTTTGGGATTTTAGAACTTTAAACTTATGAAAGTCCTACTGAATTCGTACTGCTAAATAGGGTATTTGAAAGTATTAAAAATAAAGTGCCCATTGCTGGCATCTGTGTTTAGAATTAATATTGGCAGGGGCTTTTACTATTTAAAAAAAAAAACATAATTTTACTAAAAACTCACGAAAAAGATAATAGTTTTCTTATCTATTGTCACGTGACCCAAAACGTTTGGGATTGGTGGAGCCTAAAATGACGTCACACGTAAGTAAACTTTCGGTTAAAGTGACATTACATTGTATCGTTTGACGTTTTAATAACAGTCGTGTGATGTCACACACTAGTAAGACGCCATATTGTCCAGAGAAACGTTTTCGCGGCAACTTGAAAATGGAGTTTTTGATTTGGCTATTTTCACTGAAATACACAACAGAATGATGAATATATTTTTACGGACTCCATAAACATTAGTCAATAACGTGAGATCGTTTTCTAAAACTTGTCAAATACCCTATTCTTCATATATACCTATATTTTATGTACTACATTATTTTATTTCTAAGAAATAGATATAACGAAAAAACATCAATTTTCCGATAAGACGCGGACCTGTAACATTGTCCTATTTGCCCTGCAACTTGGAGGATACTATCTTCCTCGGTCAGTTATGGGTTTCGGTGTTGTTTGACATCTCAGGCAATTTTGTAGGGAATTTTCTATTGGTACGCTTTATGTCATTCTATCATAAAACATATCAGTGAAGCAGTAAGTTGTATGCTTAATGGTTTAAATTCAATATGTCATTTTGAACCTTTATTGCAAGATTTCAAGGTTTATGAAAATCTTAAGGAAAAATTATCAAAATGAGAATTTATTAACACCTATTAACAAGTTTGCTTTTAGCTATTGTCATAACTATAACACTTTTTGACTAATATCCAAATGTGCTCATGCTCGAGGTAGATAAAATTAAAATACTAAACGCAATAACTATTTCATAAACAAATACCTAATATGCAGCTTAAGAATAGCTAGAAGGAATTTCGACGCGGTCCGTGAGGGCCGCGGTAGCATAATTGGTCAGTGCATTCGCCCGGATTGCGAAGGGTGCGGGTTCGAGTCCCGTCTGCTGCCTGGTCCGCGTGGAATTTTTTCTAGTTATATTTTCTTTAGATTTAAACATCAAGCAGTTACATGCTTTAAAAATAATAAAAATTATAAATACCTAATAGTCGGAGCGTGCGCAAGCTCATAAATAATATTACCAATGTATTCATGAATTTCTTATGGTATAGACGACTTCATTTGTGTTTGAGTGAGTTAAGTATATTGTATTTTTATGGTACAAACGTAAATGGTAGTCAAGATCGAACGTTATTGTATTTGTACAGAATGAGTGCAGACAATTACTTGCTGTCGTCATGACAAGAATTCAGTACATTATAGGTACTACACGAAGTAGCAAGAAACATATTTCACAAACAGAGACCAAAAGAAATGGTAATTACGAAGTAGGTAATAATGAACAATTAAACAATACCTACTTACTGCTCTGAAAATTATTTTCAGGGTTTAGTTGATTAAAAATAGGCATTGTGATGGTTGCTTGAAAAAAATATTTACACAAGACATGATATCCAGTGTTTGGTTATGACAATTCATTGGTTTCCGGTAACCATTAATTGTGGTATTTTTGGATTTACTTGAACGCGGCAGAATTACATTTGGAGGGCAACCTTGCAGCTTGTGAAGTAGTCCCGTCATACCTTAGCCCTTTATAAAGAGCCGAACGTCAAGAGCAGCAAAAAAAATCAACAAACGATTATGTCTTTTGGCCCTGAGCCCTCTCAGGTATGGTGGGATGACTTCATGTGATAAATGTTATTTTGCCACGTTCGAGTAAAATCAAAAAATCCCGCTTAGACTCCCCTTGCAAAACATCATTGAGTAGGAGGGCCATCTTTTATTAGAATATTTTTGGATTCTTGCCATAAAAGCCCTGTATTATGCCATAGTTTCGCCGCACACGGGCCACCGACCACAACCACAAAACGCCGCCACCTGCATATTTCTTGTAGTTTTCATACATTTATATGGACTCGCCACACACGGTACGCCAGTGGCCGCCACACGCTACAAATCGTCGTTGCTTGCTTCTTGTTGCCCGCACCGGCCACATAATGCGCCGATAAAAAACGCCGCCACACGTCACTCGTGCGATTCTCCACCCCTCTCTCCCTTGCTTTAGTCGGCCGCTGTCGCGCGCTTCCAGCCACTTTAGTAGCCGCTTCTAGCTTCTCGTGGCGGCGTTTGTGGCTGTGGCGTGTGGCCCGTGTGCGGCGACACATACACACACTACCCATAAAACACAGAAAGTAATAACAATGGTATATTCGACTGGACATTATCATCAGGAACAAGAAAAAAAAATACTGACCTGCAAATGCTGAAGCTATAGCAGCAACTAAGAAGCTTATTGTGACTGCAGGGCCGGCAACTGATTTGGCAACTGCTCCAGCCAAGACGTAAACTCCTAACCCCAGGGTGCTTCCAACCCCAAGGGCCGTGAGGTCCAGCAAGCCCAGACACCTCGCCAAAGGAGAAGAATCATTCTCATTTAACTGCTTGCATCGCCGTAATGCGTTGAACAGTCTTAAACACCCCATCTATGAAAGGATAGAAATCAATATAAATATAAGTTATGTACGTGATCATGGCGCTTGCAATAGTGCCGAAATATCGAAAACTCGCTAAAAACAAGGTACATGGTAACAATCCCGTAAATAACTTATATTACTATAATGTTAGTGACTATGAAAGTTTAAAACAATATATCAATATAAATATTGATAACATCACATAAATTGCGGAAACCTATGTCTATTGGTAGATCAAGATGCTTGGCAAGCTAGATGGCGCAGTTTTTAACACGTTCGTTTGCGATTCGCAATGATGTCTTGAACAACGACTGATGATTGACGAATAAAAATTCTGATTTCTCTGTGATCCGGAGAGCACGTTGGCTTCGCTATAGTTAGAAGTAGGTTTCAGCCACAGAACAGAGAAGAGGATAATTTTTCTGTTCTGTGGTTAGTCTCTTATCCTTACGCTGTCCTTAGGTAAATCTGTGCTTCAGTAGTGCATACATTAATAAGCCTATGATGATAATAGTCCAAGTAATTATTGCCTTTTTTGAGTGGAAATAAAATCGTAATTTCTATTAGGCTAGTGAACTAATAAATATTTTGTCACCGATTTTTTGTCAAAAACAACCTCAACAGTAAACATTTTCCCCGTGCATTGACATCTCTATACATTTGTTATAACTAATAGGATACATGAATCGAATCGTGATGCTGTGAATGCCCTAAAGCTATTCTAGCGGATTTCATTCAGCGACCTGTCGCGCTCCTGCGCATGTTCAACTACCGTGAAAGTCAAGGTTGACCATAAAACCACCGTCACAGCTGCATTTCAAAAGTAAACTTTATGACCAGCTAATAAGGTTGCTGAAATTAAAACCACCAGGTGATGATAACTCGGTTATCAGGAAATTGCTCATTACATTTGAATTCGTTACGTTTCGTGTAAGTTGATGATTTGATTTTAGATGTATTTAATTTGAATGTGCATTATATAATTAGCATTTTTATTATTACGAAGGTAGGTATCGTTAATGTTTTTTTCCCACCCATTCTATGCCAACGTTTGAAGTAGTCTTGTGTGGGCGTCTTTAACCTATTGGAGGTCCTGGGCATATTAGGATAATGGGGCCCCTATGACTTTGATGTGGATTATGACTTGAAATGGAGCGAGTTATACTGATGAGTGTACTACTGATGATTTTTCTTTAAAATTTTTTAAATTTATCTAAGCATGCTGAAGTCGGAAAGCCTAATTTTTGGGCGAGAGTAGAATAGCTTCGCTTATGTATAATCTAGTAAGTTGGTATTGTAGTCAGTAATTTAGGTTCGATTTCATCAAATCATATAATTTTTTTGGTAATAAATATTGGTTATCGTTTGGTGATCTGACAGGAACTAAGGACTTTGTATTTAATCTGAGGGGGGCCCCCATCGATCGCGGGGCCCTGGGCACTTGCCCAAAGTGCCCACTGGGAAAGACGGGTCTGACTGTAACCTATTGGTTTTTTCATAAGAGCAATCAATCAATCAATCAATCAATCAATACTTTATTGCGTTCTACAATGTTTTCTTAGATCTTAGTAGGTACATTGCTTTGATCATTGTAGACCCTGAACAGGGCACAGCAAATAGAGAAGAGGACGCACTCACTAATTGTAATTTACGAGTAGTTAGTACGTATACAATTTACCAGCCAAATACGATAATTTTTTACCCAACAAATAAAAATATAATAATATCAACATTATTTATTCATTTTAGCTTAATATTATATTATATTATTTGAATTATTATCTATGTCATATTCTATGGTATATTATGTTATATTTATATTCAATTTTATTATATACAAATTAAATTAAATTAATAAAATGTCAATAGAGAGCTGCCTAGGGAAGCAACTTCCACCTCAGAGAAGACCACAGTGGAATAATGCTACCTTTTGTAAATGTTGTGTTCGGTTGCCTAGCTTGACCCCATCGTGTCGGGTTGACGATAAGGTCAAGGCAGGCAACGGTTTTCGCAAAAGCAAAACATTTCCATTTGAATCAAAAACTATTGAATTCTTTTGTGTGCAATCGGCAGTAGAAAGGAATTCAAAGAACATGTTTTGATACTATTGCTTTTGGACAACCATCTTATTTTATTTTATTTATTTATTTCATTCATTGCCTAAAACATAAGTAAACGGAGGACTTAATGCCATAGGCATTCTCTACCAGTCAATCAGTGTGAGTGTTGGAGACAAATAGAATGGCGATAAAGCAAAGTTTGCTAAAAATTTATTAATAATCTTGACCTATGCCGAGTGGGCCGTCCGTCTTTGAGGTGCAAAAAGATCGAGGTTAACATATATTGGTGTCGATTCTGGCGTGATTCTCTAAACTTAAAACTAAATTTAACATCAGTCTCTCTTTCTCATTGTGTATAGAGAATGACAAGGAAACACTGTTGTCAAATTTAAGTTTAGATTTGGAGAATTGTGCCAGAATTTTATAATATTTTATAATATTACCACAAAACGGAGTAAACTAAGGCAACAAAATACTAATGTTATTAAAAATCAAATCAGAATCTCATGCGCAGAAAATAAAAAAATGGAGTGTGTTCAAATGGTTGCGTAGTAAGCTCCGTTTTTCTGTATTGATTTTGTTATGAATGTAGTTCGTTACATAACAGAAAGGTTTTCGTAATGGCCCTTCTAGTTTTGTAATCAGTATGAATGATCAATTTGTCCAGATTTGTACATTTGCAAAACATTTTTCTTCTTGCTGCGACGGTATATTATTAGATTTGTCCATTTAAATTGAGTATTAAGTAAACGAGAGTTACTTAATGTTTGCAAATTGCACGTGTATTTTTAGTGCCTAGAAAGAATCTTAGTTTTTGTTATTTATAAAATACAGGTAATTTTAAGTATCATCGAATTTATTGAACATAAAAGAATACAATAATAAACCTTTACATTTAGACAGAGAGGTTGCAGGTTGTTCTTGACTGACATAATAATAATGAAAGAAATGCGAGATACATTTTTGTATTGATACATGAACATCATTTAATGTACAGTATCCTCGGACCACGGAAACAAGGGCCGTCTTTAACCTATTGGAGGTCCTGGGCATATTAGGATAATGGGGCCCATGACTTTGATGTGGATTATGATTTGAAATGGAGCGAGTCATACTGATTTTGATGTACTACTAATGATTTTTCTTTAAATGTGTATGTGCTGAGTATACCATTATATGTATATTTAATTTTATCTAAGCATGCTAAAATCGGAGAGCCTAATTTTTGGGATAGAGTAGAATAGCGTCGCTTATGTAAAAGCTGGTAAGTAGGCATTGTAATCAATAATTTAGGTTCGATTTCATCGAATTATACTTATAAGGTTTTTGGTTATAAATATTGGTTATCGTTTGGTGATCTGACAGGAACTAGGGACTTTGTATTTGATCTGAGAGGAGCCCCTATTGATCGGGGGGCCTTGGGCACTTGCCCAAAGTGCCCAATGGGAAAGAGGGGTCTGACGGAAACACACGTGATATTTATTAATACACCCCCTTTTTTAATGGACCCTTTCCTCCCTTTCAAGCCTCACGTGATTAATGGACAGCCTCATAGCGTATAAGGCTTGAGAGTATTATGAGTGCGTTGTGCGTTACCTATCCTGACTCCACTCTACAATAAGGTGATCGTGCCGCGGAGACCTTTCGACTAATTCGTAACTACTAATTTGGCTATTCGAAAGGCAAATTGGTGTATGTCATTACTCGAATAACGACTACTAATTAGTAATACCTTTATAATATAGGTATTTCTGACAGCCCTCT